TGCACTCGTTTGTAGCTCCCTCGCGTGTGTGTGTTGTGTCTGCGCGTGTGTGTGTGTGTGTGCCCTGCAGTTGTCACACGATGGATGTCCTGGTGGTTTGTTTGAAACATGGCAGGGAAAGAAAAAACATAAAACGTTTGGGATGGTTTTATTCTTATTTTTTTAATTTACAAAACTAAACAGCCTACAGTATTTTTACAGTCTTTATTTTACAGTTAAAAAATATAATTATCAAATAAAGTCTAATGTTACAACTAATCATGGATCCCTTTAAATGAAAGCAGAGTGACAAAGTCTGAAAGTATTCAGAGATGTGTTACTTTTGCTTCCTACCAGATGTATGTGGTTAACTCGATAGAGTTTTGTAAAAATAACAATAAGCTATTAAGCAATGTCTTCATTAAGCTGTTTCCTTTGCCTCCACCCAGGTATATGGCCCCTGAAGTCCTGGACGAAACCATCAACATGAAACATTTCGATTCCTTTAAGTGCGCAGACATTTATGCTCTCGGCCTGGTGTACTGGGAGATCGCGCGTCGCTGCAACACAGGAAGTAAGAGCAGACACGGGCGGCCGATGCAGGAGCAGAACTAGAAGCCTGAACAGAAACCAGAGGCTGACCTTTCCTGTTTGTGCCACAGGTATTCACGAGGAGTACCAGCTGCCCTACTACGACCTCGTGCCCTCTGACCCCTCCATAGAGGAGATGAGGAAGGTGGTCTGTGACCAGAAACTGAGGCCCAACGTGCCCAACTGGTGGCAGAGCTACGAGGTATTTCACGCTGCGAATGATTATTGCACTACTGATTATCTAAATGTGTTAGCAGGCTGTAGAGGACTGAGAGGTGCAGTACAGCATGCTCTGTCTTGGTTGAATCTGTTATGATAGGAAAATAAACAGTGGATTTTATCTTTTAGTAGCTGCCTTTCCATTGCAAATGTGCGCAAAACTTTGTCGATATTCTGTTAATGTCGAAAAACAGTCTCACAACTGCGGTTTTTCCATTAAGTAAGAAATGCTATTAAAGTCACACTTAAATACATTTGTTCTCGCAATAAGTCATTACAAACATGGCGGCAATGGATGTAAACAYATAGCMYRTTGCTACCACGACACTAGCGCTCATCATCAGAGGAGACGTCGGCGTCTTATCGAGATTTTCCAGCGACAAGCCCCTTATACTTGGGAGCGGCTACGTATGCTGTGTTTTTGGGAAATTGTAGTCGGTGAGTTTACTACTTTCTTTTACAACTTTGGTGATTTTACTACTACTTCTACTTCCCATTGTCGTCGTCGTCTTTTTCGCCAATAGAAACAGCCGGTTCTTGATCACGTGACTCCCGTGATGCGAAAAAAGTGTTTCCTTTGCAGGTTTACGAAATAAAACAATTTTGATACGGCCGAAAAACCACCTCATCCTAGTACAAAAACATTTTGTCGCAAAACATAAGTTTTTTTCGAAATTGACAAATTTGTTTTCGAAACTCTAATTTGCGCAATTTCACGGTCACTGGAGACGCAGCTATTGTCATAATCTGGATACCCTCTTCAGTGTCTAATAGCCTGAGAGAGGTTTAACAAAATCTTTTCTTTTCTTGGTTTGAAAGAAAAATATTTTTTTCTTTGTCTTCAGTTTAGATAATAATTGTTAGATAATTAAATAAATAAATAAATTTCCTCCTCTGTTTAAATTTAACATTGCCGGTGAAATCAGCCGTGCCTCGTGCCGCTAACCCCACGTGTCCTTTCTTGCCGTGCAGTCTCTGCGCGTGATGGGGAAGATCATGCGGGAGTGCTGGTACGCCAACGGAGCGGCCAGGCTGACGGCCCTGCGCATCAAGAAGACTCTGTCCCAGCTCAGCGTGGAGGAGGACGTCAAGATGTGAAGCGGAGCGAAACGGACGACGYGCCGGAGACGCACAAAAACCGGATCACACTCCCACATAGGAAACGAACACTGGAAGACGAGACTGCAAGTGAAAACCCTGCCAGTTTTAAAGCCACACTCCAAGTTGTGACAAGGCCTACCTCACCTTTTTAGCCAAAACTACTGAAAACTCACCCTCCCCTCCTCCACATTCATCCTATAACTCCTCGTGTCTCAACTCCTCAACACTCATCTCCACAGGCAGCATCACGACAGCCCTACAGTTGTTAATATCATAACACTCCCACGTTTGTTTGTTTTTCTTCTTTTTCTTTTCCCAGGGCAGGAATTACTACTAATGTACAGTGACACTATTATTATTATTATTATTATTATTATTATTATTATTATGTGACAAACTAAGCGTTTCCAGACAAGTCGTGGAATTTGAAATTACTGCCTCACATTCTTCTGCAATATCTCTGTTGCTGTGAGGGGGAGGAGAGAGAGGCTGTTTTGTGTGTGTTTGTGTGTAAAAGGTGTCTGAACTACTAGCATGTTTCTAAGATGTTAAGGTGTCTTCTGGTTTACGCTGTAGTTCATTAGACGAAGCGGATCAGTAATTTGGTCTTTTAAGCATGAACAGCCGACCTTTGTTCCCCGCTTGAACGTAAACCGCAAACAAAAATGAGCTGCACTCGTTTGTAGCTCCCTCGCGTGTGTGTGTTGTGTCTGCGCGTGTGTGTGTGTGTGTGCCCTGCAGTTGTCACACGATGGATGTCCTGGTGGTTTGTTTGAAACATGGCAGGGAAAGAAAAAACATAAAACGTTTGGGATGGTTTTATTCTTATTTTTTTAATTTATTTGTTGATAGTTTGTTTCTTATTGATGAACACTGTGAGATGAGGTGCAACGGACTGGAATCTAGAAATGACATACATTTACATGTTTTGTTTTTGATCAGACGTCCGATTTTAAAGTGGGGTTTTGCCATCATTTAGTGCGATAGTTTGAAGACGAATGTAGCCATGACCCTTGTTGGTGGCAAAACCTTGCACACTGAGCAAAAAAAAAAAACTGAGCGTAAGAAATGGCAATGGTAAATCTTTTTTTGTTTTGTTTTGAAAAACTRTATTTTTGTGTAAAGAGGTCATAATGGCCTTTCTTTTTACTTTGACATTAGACACTACTGATGATGGGTACATCTTGTTTTTATTTCTGTGTAAAAATATTCACCCTCCCCTCCATTAAACGCCACAATCTTCAGTGTGACATTTGAACGGTGAATTTGCTTGAACGGTACTGTCACAGGTCTTTTTTGTATGCATTGTTTTTAACTGTGCATATGAAAAAACTACCAAGTTTATTATATTTTATTATTATTATTTTATTGCTCCTTTTATTGCAGTTTGGTGGTACTACTGATCCCCGACTTTTACACCCAAGTCTCTGTGTTTGGCCTCTGTGGTGACCTTTCCTTCTTATTAACACTGGAATACATAGGAGCATTGTGTCAACTCTACACACTACCACTGGCTATTTCTTTATTTTTATCCTACTTTTATTTTCCCCCAGAAACTGACAGTTAAAATGTAAAATGCAGAGAAGTTTAAGCTTCAGACAGTGATGTAGCTGAGCGAAAAATGCATGTTTTAATCCTGGTTCTGCAGCTCCCAGTCTTATTGCAGACAACTTTAATGAAAGTATTACACTGATATTTGTCACCTTTTGGGCTCTGCACTGTTATGTCCTAAAGGGGTTACTTAGTTAAATGTTAGCAAAGCCATTCAGAATCCATGTGTCATGTTTAAAATCCCTTTTTGCATGCTGTCTCAAACACTGGGTTGTCTGCACTGTTTTCCATCTCCTACAAATTGATTTTATGTCCTTTTTTTTTTTTTTTGTCCTTTTTTTATAACCCAGAATATTTGCTGCTACTGTTAACATGGGTAGAAGTGTAGTGGATACAAAAGATGGGAGTGGAAGACTTCTGTCAGGTTGAAACCAAAATTGTCCAAGAAAACAAACAAAAAAACACTCCTGTCCTTGTTTGGTTTGTTGCCATGGGTATTTGATCATCATAGGTAAAACTTCAAGAATTTAAAAGGTAATAATTATGTGCAGTTTTTTTTCTGAATTAGTTCAAGTGTATATAGGCGTAAACAATAAATTCCTCTTTTTCTTATCTGGAGTTTCACTGTCATTTTTGAACTCTACCTTCTCTGGCTGCAGTTACACATTAACTCATGAACTTCAATCCATCAAATTTGTAATAATCTGAGAACATATGCCCAAGTTTATGTATAAACTGAACAAGTAGCTATAGACCTTTTTCTTTTTAGATCAAATGAACATTCGCATATTTAAAATGCATTTTATTTTTCTTTCCAAGAAACAAAAGCAGACAAAGAAATAAGATGAAACTGGGGGGGCGAGGGGGAGAAAGGAGTGGAGAAACCAGTATATAAAGAGATGCAACCTCTGGCGTCTTTGAAAAAAATATGTACAATTCAAAGAATATCCATACAAAACATGCCACATACAATAAAAATGATCATAATTATTCATAATCCCTAAAAGTATCTCTGCTGTACAGATGCAACATCTTTTTTTATTTGTATGCTCTTTTTAAAAAGGTGAAGTTTAAAAAAAAAACCTTCGATTTGAGCTCAACTTTATTTAAATTATAAGATATGCAGAGATCTTAAATTAAGATTCAGAGAAGTTAAAAAGTATTTACGCTAAAGTCCAGTGAGCATCATAATGTCTCATTATGGTCTTCCCTTCAAATAGAAACATACCGAAAAATATATTTATATTTATATATTTATATATATATATATTTATATCACTGTTTTCAGATACTTGATCAATATCTACCACTTTAGATAAGTTCTCTGTTATACAATGAGAGTGCAATTCATTACCAGGTTAAGTATGGGATTAACTGAGTATTATATCATGAACATACATTAGGCCAAGTAACCATTTCACAAGGTTTACCGACACATTCACTTCTAAAGGAAAGAGGATGAAACAAAGCAAACCACTAGCAATATTAACATTTTCCATTCAAGACTAAAATCATCCAATTTGATTAAAAAAACAGCTTTTGGTAAACAACAGGCATAAATAAAACAAAATTACATAAATACAAATGCTATGCACCAATGTACGGCCTTATGCAAAGAGTGATTTTTTTCACGTCTAATTAACCGACTCTCCCCATAAATCCAGTAATCAGCTCAGCTTCTTATAACTGATAGATCAGATATTTACCTGTTAGCACAAACATTTCTCTGAGAGCTCATAGCAAAAAACACTAATAGAAAAAACAGGTAAATGCAAAACACTCTGGATCATATACATAAAAGATATTAGTTTTCAATTTTACATATATTTATACTTATTTACAACTTTTCTCTTTGTTAAAATCAATATCCAGTGGTTGATTTGTTGTTTTCTTTCCCCGACACAATTTTTTTTCCTTATGCACTTTTGACGTTGATTACAARGGGGCTGGATAAAGAGTTGCTGTCCCCGTAATGCATAAACACATAGGTTTTATTTACAGTTTTTGTACAACTTTGCATTTTTAAAAATCACATGAGGTCTGAGGTTACGGGGAAAGGAGAGGAGACAGTAATATGGGAAGGTGGAGTTTTAGTAAAGCTCCCTTTAAAGACTTTTTTTTTTAAATTCCTCGTTCATTTTTTTTGTACACAAATACAAACAAATGCCCTTTTTTTCTATAAGTCTTTCCCTGCCACCAGTTCAGCCTCAATTAGACAGTACCAGCACCGGAAAAAAAGAGAGAGTAAGCACGCTCCGAGGGGGAAGTAGAAACACTGCAGGCTGTACTCAGGCAGAGGAAGACTTACTACAGTAAAAGTTTTAAAAACAGTCCATTAAATAACGCAGAGAGGAAGAGGCTTGATTCAGTTTTAAGGTTGAGGTCTGAACAGATTGACTCGTTAGGGAAACTAAAAAGCAATAAATGGATTCAAACAGTAGTCACGCATCTGCTGGCTCCTCGAAAACTATCAAAACTTCAAAGCTGAAAGCGACAAAACTAAACGGGAGAATCGTTCAGGGTTTAATTGTAATCCTCCTCAAAGATCCTAACCCGTTCTTCGATGAGTCAGCGACTCGAACGGTGAATGTTATTGTGCTTTCACACAGCTGATAGCATGGTTTTAGAATGCAGAAATAGAAACGTTCAAAAATAAAAAAATATCCAGGATGATTTTTGTGGCAAACACAGATGCCCCTTTAGGCATCCGATCGTGAGCTTAATGACAAAAGAAAACTTCTCTGTATAAATAATTGATAATTATGTTCGGTCCTTTTTTTTGTAAATCAACATCAGCATAGAGAGAGCAAACCTGCTGCTTTAGATTCCCTGCTTGTCCGAGAGGGCTAAGCCCCAGAAAAAAAAAAAAAAAAAACACCCACCCACCCCCAACTCCCCCCACCCCACAGTAATTCCACAGTAGCAATTAACAGTTTGTTGTGTATTTTTTTTTTTTTTGGTTGGTTTTTGTTTTTCTACAAAGCAGTCACTTTAAATCAGTGAGGTAGACCGGGTCAAAACTAACCCACCTTGGGACAGTCAGGAGCATCTGGTGCCTCTAGAGCTGCAGATGGATAGAATCTACAATTTTTTATTTTTATTTTTTGTATTTTTACTTATGTGTTTGTTTTTATTTCCACCCTCGCCACCCATCAACTGATGCAACACAGAATGTCAAGATTGTCTAGCTAGCCAATAGTCGTGTTATTGTCATGAGTCACTTGAAGGGAAAGTGCCTTGTCTGGGAGGTGGGGCGGTGGCCAGGTATGACAGAAAATTAGTCCAAAATAAAATAAAATAAAATAAAATAAAATAAAATAAAATTTCATCCTTAGTTCAATCTTAGTATTTAAGCATGGCTTTTTGTTGAAGCTCCAGGGGAGCTCTGCACTATAAGTACTATTGTCAGAGGGTCAGAATCATTTGGTTGATGTTGAGGATTGTTTTCCAGCCACTGCAGGCTCACTGAGAGCAGGCTCGTCGAGGGGAGGTGAAGGGGGTGGGGTTGACCRAAGAAAGAAAGATTTACAAGTCCAAACATCAGAGACGGACCCCCACTATCAAACTGCTGTTGATGGAAGGTGGTCAGTTTTAAACTGATTAATGCTTTTCAGACCTTTGGCTACGGGGGTCAACACTTTAGTCTTTCGATAGCAGAGGACAGTCTTCCTCCATGTCTTTCAGAACAGCTTATGCACTGGCGATGTAGGATTCAAAGGCTTTGGCGCGAGAGTGTTCTGGTACAAGTGAGGGCAACGCTCCGGTCATCCTTTATTCCTGGTTCAGTTCATCCACTTTCGACAATTCCAGGCTCCGCAGTGGCAGGGGATCTTGTGCTGATCGTCTTCAAAATCAAACTGGTAGTCGTAAGTCAGCTGGAATCAGGAAACAGAGACAGTTTAAAGACTTGTGAAATAAAAAAAGAAATAAAAAAAGGTAAATTATGGGCAAGTAAAACACACCTCTTCTCCCTTAGGGATCCTGCGGCTGGAAATGATGATAATCTTGTCTTCTTTGTCAAATGTTACAACCTCAGCGACACAGTTGGGGGCACATGAGTGGTTGACATATCTAGAAATAAGAGAAAATAAAAGTCAGTAACAAAACGTACAAAACTAAAGGATTTTAAACCAGAGTGTTGTGTACAAAGTGATACTAACCGAGCGGGGCCGCCTGTCAGAGTGGCATCAATCACCTGCTCGTTGTTGATGCGGAACATGTAGATCCCACGGTTCTAAAATAAAAACAAWACAAAACTTAATTCCAAATACTTCATCATTCCGTTTAATTCAACCCAAGGATATTTTTTGGTGTATTAAGGAGCACCTGCGACTCATAGATCTTCTCACGCCGATTGGCCACCTCGTTGCGAATAACAGTCCCGATGTACTCGATGACCATGGTGTGCTTCTCCAGGTCCTTTGCCGCGTACAGSCCTAACCCTTGAATGCGAGATCGTGCGAGGTAAACGTTGTTCTTCCACTCGGTCTTCAGACGGCGGTACTGAGAGGACTTGGAGTGGACAAACTGCTTGCTGTAGGGTGTGTTGAGCTCTCCGGTGAAGGTGCTCTGGTAGGCCTTTGACACGCTGGTGCTGTTTAGAGTATGAGGCCTTGAAACAAAAAAAATATTTGGTGATGTTTGAGTAATTTAGAAATGCTGTGCATTAATAATGACTTATCTAGGCTGTAATATGATTTAATTGTCATCTGTGCTTTTTGTATAAATGTTTTCTTCCATTTAAAAATACAAAGCTTGCAGCACTAATTAAAAGAACTAATATATTAAACTGCACAACTCACCCTGTTTGATATGTCACTGTACTGTACTAAAAACTGATTTACCTCTTGCACTGAGTAGGAACCTTTGGCTCAGAGCGAGCGCAGCCAGTTGGATTTATCATGAGAGGGAGCTCCATCAGAGGGTGACGGCCGTATCGGAACTGGTAGTTCTGACAGTTCTCCACTCCAGGTAACTTTAACATTAAGCAGTTTATCGTCAGAAGACACACACACACAAAGAAAAAGGGAAAACAAATGAGCAATAAAAACAGAAATTCTTACCGATTCCGTGATCCGCATGACAGCATGAACAGTGAGGCCGTACATCTCCTCTCCCTTAACATGTTCAGTGAACAGCTTCAACATGAATGATTCCTCTCGAAGTTTAGCCACCTGCTGCACAATTCGGTCCCAGATCCCTAGAGATGACAAGTTGTATTTGGTCACTGGTCGAGATAGTCCAGGTTTAACAGGCGGAGTGTGAAAACGACATTCTTACCCTCTGGAGTTGAGTCCCGATACTGCAAGTCCTCTAATCCCTGCTCCAGAACACGCACCTCGAACAGCGGGCGACTTTCATCCTCACTGATGCGACAGCGGTAGCGGCACCGCTTGTTGGGCACGCGTGTGCTCCAGTAAATGCGCGTGGCTTCATAGCCGACAGGGAAAATGGCAGTGGGCGAGTGAAAGTTGGTCATTTGGGAAGGTAGCAACTGGCCAATAGCGTGAAAGATGAGACCACCGACACGGAACAGGTGGATGCGGTCGCCTCGCTGCAAGATGCTGGCGATCTGCTTCACCTCGTCGCGCTCGATGTAAACCCGGCGTAAAACGGCAAACGTGCTGAGCTCGTCGTCACTTGGGCCCTTCAGTTTGTGCTGGGTGCAGAGCATGGTCTTATCCTTGAAGAACATGCAGCGCGCTCGGATGGCGCAGGCAAAGTGGTAGACGTTTGGGCAGCGTAGTCTGTTGCAGCTGTTCGTGGCGCCGGTTTTCTGGCAGTACGCGCAAAGCGTTCGCAGTCCACGACGCAGGGCCACCTCCACGTTGATCAGGGCGCCCCCCTGAGTCTCATACACTTCTGTGGACCACAAAGCGCAATTAAGGTGCACCCACAGGTCCACGTCGATGTTGAGCAGACGGGCGGGGCCGTCTGTGGCTCCGTCACCTTCCTCGTGGCAGAAGCAGCATTTGCGTTTATCCCGAGGCAGCTTTTCAGGTCGAAGAGTGATGCGCAGAGTGTCCATCAGCTCAGACACCTCCCGGCTGCTCTCCTTTTTTGAGCCACCCTTTCGTATTGAGATGACTATCTGAAGACGCTTCCAGCGGATCCCCTTCCACTTTTTCATTTTGGGGTGTACCACCTCCTCGTCAGGCGAGAGAGGTCTGCGCTGCTTGACCGCTTTAGGGGAAGACTCCATAATGCTGGGAGAATCTATGGGAGGTTGAGCTGGCTCCTCTTTGACAGCAGGACTTTGATGACCCTCTGCAGGCTCAATGGGCTCAGACTGTGCAGAAGCAGCTGCTGGTTCACTAATTCCTTCCAGAGCAGCAGGAGCTTCAGACTCTGTGATGTTGGCTGGCTGAGAAGCATCAGGAGGAGAAACAACATGCTGCTCAGGTTCAGTTTTGATCTGGACACCAGTGGGACTGAAGGGAGGGGGTGTTGGAGATGACTTTTTGGAAGATTCAGCCTCACTAACTATGACTGGTAAAGGCTGTGGAAGAGAAGGTGATGGGGGTGGAGATTCCTCCACTGGTATAACAGGAAGGTGGCGAACATCCAAATCATTTACGTTGGTTGTGTAACAGTGCTGCACTGGTTTGTCATCATTCTCTGGGAATTCCTGGAAGAAAAACAATTATAGCCTTCTAGGTAAATGCTCAACAACAACAGCTAAAAATACTACTGAACAGATAAGTGGTGACAAACCTGTTTAATAAGTGCCAAAATGTCCACTTGTTTCTTTAGAGTACAACCAGGGAGAGAAACATCAAACTGTCTCAGCCACTCATCCTGACTGGGCGAGGCACCGTCCTTACTGCACAAAGGCCCTAAAAAGTGTGACCACAACATTAACAGCCTGATTTTAAAGATGAGAAACAAACTTTCAACAAATCAACACTCAAATTTTGACCTTTTAGGGGAAAATAGTTGCTTTTGACAGGGCTAGTGGGAAAAAACATCCTGAGCCTGAACTTTGTTCTTATAATAAAACTGACAACATACTGTAGGTAAACAAAATCAACAATCTTTATAAAAACTGTAATTTATATTTCATCTTTGATTATTAAATGAATTACAATTTTCAAGAAGTTTGGTTCCAAATATAAACAATTTAGCAATGTCAGTTCCACAATAGACTATTTTAAATGCTACAGTATATGAGACCCATCATATCGAAATGAGGATTAAGTCAAATTTGGTCAAAATGACCTAATTACATTTTCAGATTCCTGGCTTTAAATGTTATATTTTGATACCTGGATCATTCTGATATCAAATCCATTTATATGACTTAATTTGTCTTGTTAATTACAATACTACATAAATATTTGGTCTGAATCCTAATTTTATTTAATTTTAATGAGAAATTGTTGATGTCCTTATAAAGAGGAAACCTCAAATTATATTTGAATATTGAGATTTCCCAGCTGAGAAGAAACAAAACATTGCTAGCTTACAACGGCATTTTTCCTCAAAATCAGGTTTTTTTGTTGCTACTGCTCAAAACAGTGCTTCAAAACATTTTTGATTATATTTCAGACAGTTCATTCAAATGATACATTAATAAGGCATTTATTCATTATGTTTTGACAAAATGCAATTTTTGCAAACGTTTGATTCAAAACACTTTATTTGCCTATTTTAGACTTAATCCTTGTTTGGAAGTGATGGGTCACATATATTGTTAATATGATGAAATAAAATTTTGACTGCATCACAGAGAGAACTCTGTGAGGGTTTTGGAGGAAAAAATATATCAAAAGATAAACAGAGACACATTTTTGCTACAGATCTGTTTAAACAAATACCTCTTTTGGTGTTAACATTGTTTAATTCCAAGAGCTAAAGCTACAACTTCTGCTAGGTCTGAACCAAAGTTTTATTGAACTGATTGAACTCTGTTTTTTTTTTTTTTTTTTGCTGTAGCTACACTAAGCAGGAGATCCAACATGGCACCAGAGAGCTATCAGCCTGTTTTGAACAAAAAAAAAGCTTTTGATACAGCTCAATTATCTTCATGTGTATRCCAAAATATTACCAACAAGCCATGGCTAATTAACTTCAACAGAAATTTTAGTTTAGAAACAAAATGCTTAAAAAAATAAACTTGAATTAGTCTCGAAATGTCCACCTGACTGTCCGTGTCTTTTCCCAGGCCCATCCACTCCAGGCAGGTCAGAATTTTGGGGAGGAAACGTGACCTCATAAGCATTTGGCATCCTAATGTTGAGCAGTTGGGCCATTGCCATCATMACATGATTGAGTTTCTGGAAAATAAAGAAAAACATTTGAATGATAGTAAAATCTACAAAAATAAAATAAACATGGGCTTACTGAGTTGATGGTTTAGTACCTTGGCAGCAGCAGGAGACACTGTGAAAGTAACAGACACCTCATTGCTGTTGGTCTTGTCCCAGTGGTTGGATGTGGCAACAGCTTTCTCATCAGATGCTTCAACTGGCTTATTTTCTGGAAATGCTGTTAAAATGCGTAAAACAATTTCGCAAAATTATTTATTTTACAAAAAAAAAAGAAGAAAAAAATGACATGAAACTTTTACAGCAGGCCTCTTAAAAACGGTGCAACCCTTTGAATTTCAACATAAGTGTTGCATAATACCTGGTATAGCAGTGCGAGGTATCAGAGGTATGATGGGKGATATTGCTCTCTCTGTATCCTCCTCTTTGGGCTCCCGGAGATTAGGAAAACGTGGTGTTGCGTCTCCTACACTGCTCTCAGGGGATGACGCTGGGATGATGCTTTCTTGAGCATCGTCCTCGTCACTCTCCATCCTGTTAAAAAGAGGTTTCSACCATTTATAACAACATCCGAGAAAACAGGATTCATAACAAATATGTCGGGGCAGCTGGATTGTTGTACCTGATATCCTCATTGTGGTTATGTGGTGGAGTAGGGAGGGCTGCTAGTAGATCTACACTCTTCACTTCCTCTTTAACAGAATCTGAATATAAAAATCATTTAGTCAATTTTTTTTAGCTTAGCTTAACTACATATTAAACATTCTCAAGCAAAAAAAATCACCTATTGGTTCTTCTGATGGTTTTGTGTCCTTCTGGCCCCCAGAAAGGTCCTCTCCAGGAGTCACACCATTCAGCAGCTTATGCTGTACTGATGGTGGTGGAGTAGGTGGTAGGGAGGATGGAGGTGTTGGAGGGTTACTGAGGTTACTCTGTAAAGATGTGAGCATTTTTTCAGTTTGTTAAGACTTGGTTTTTAAAAGCAGGAGTAGACCACAACCAATATGACTGTACTTGTGAAACCGAGTTACCTTAGTAAGTAGCTGAGAATAGTAGTCTGGGATATTGTCCAGCACCGCATTTCCAAATGAGCCTTTCAACTGTCCTTTGCCATTGGATGGGCTGCTTCCAAAAGGAGCAAATAGATCCAGGCTGGCAGTGATTGAAGGCTCCATCAACGGTAGCAGAGACAGACCCTAGTACATAAATGCTCATTAGTCAAGACAATGAAGACATCGTCAGTGAAAATGTAGAAATTTCTCTTTGACATTTACCTGTTTGAGTTGTTTTATGAAGGATTCAGCACTTTTGCCAACCTCTTCCTTTTTATTTTTCTTCCGTGAATTTGGCCCTTTGTCACCACTTGGTTTATTTATGCGCTTTGGCTTTTGTACAGGAGCCCTTTTAGTTAAAGACTGTAAATCCTGTGAAAGGTGAAAACATACAAGCTTTTTCCTCATGAGCAATAGTTAAACTAAAAAGATACAACACAATTAAGAAAATCATACCTCCATATTTCTCGGAGTCCCTTGCAGCTTTTGCTCAAGCATGGCCAATTTACTGTTGATGTGACCATTGATCTCATTGTGGATGCCTTCAGAGGGCCTCTGAGCATTAAGCTGAATGTTCTTGGTTTTAAGGAGTTTCTGCAGCAGCTGTTGTCCAGTCTCAGATCTAGGACCAAGGGGCTCTGACCCTAACCCAGCATTAGAAAWGCTGGAGTTGCTCCCGCATGTAACTGTTTCACCCGTTGTTTCTTGCTTCAGAGCTCCAGGGTTAGCTTCTGATGCACTGTCACACTGAACCTCCTTCGGTTCTTGTTTAATGTTCTGCACCGTCTTGAACAGCTCACCCTGTTGCGTGTGAACATTACTTTCTGTGATGTTTTGTCCTTCTTGCTGAACAAGCAGCCCTTTCTGTGGCCCATTAGGGGTAATTGACACTGTCTGAGATGCTTCGCTGCCTGACAGCTGAGTTTCTACTTTCAGCCCTGGATAATCAAGTGGGCTCTTTGCCCCAGGCGACCTGAGTGGAGATGCTCTAATTTGGCTGTAGGGACTGCCCTTCCCACCTCTACAGTCAGCTACAGAAGGTGAGGAGACATGAGATGAGTAGGGTGAGGGTGGGTGGGCTGGGCTCATTCCAAAAGGACCTCTTGGAGAGTATGCATGGGATGGAGAGCCCTGAACCCGACCTGATGGAGCTACCATTAGTGCTTGTTGTTTATTCAGGTTGGGAGTGGAAGGACGCATAGATTGATTAAACATGTGTCGCTGTGGATCCCCCGGAGAGTGGACTAATGGCTGGCGTGGAGAAGCTGGCCTTACCATACGATTCTGTTCCATTGGTGAGTGTGGCATTGGTAACTGGCTCCTATTCATATGCTGCTGCATCATTTCCCCCGGTTGGGGCTGACCAGGGACCATCATACCTTGCTGTATCTGAGGAACACCACCAGGTTGCTGACTAAACATGGCTGATTGTTGATGACTGGCCACAACTCCTGGTTTTCCCATGCCTCCGTAAGGCATCTGATGGCCCTCCATTCCCATCATCTGCTGCCCACCCTGTGGGGCTTGTTGTCTCAACTGACCCGGTTGGCCTTGGCCAACAGGCATTCGCAGCATTTGCCCATGATGGAGTTGTCTCTGTGCTATTATAGCCTGAATGTGCTGTATCTGTTGGTTTTGGGGAAGATTGCGGAGCTGAGGATTCTGAGCAATAATTGCTTGAAAGTTGATAGAAGTGCGGATCGGTCCAGGTGGGACATTGGCTCTCTGTGCCATCATCGCTTGCTGCTGAGCTCTGATCATTGCCTGTTTGTGCTGCTGGACCATGAGGGCTTGCTGCTGCGAAGTAAAGCCCATTGGGACAGGCTGTGGTTGGCCGGGACGATTCTGACTCATGACCTGCTGCTGCATGGTGGGATCTAGAACCTGCTGTGTGGCATTCTGAGTAGTTTGCTGTGGTTTAGCTAATAAGTCGACCGAGTTCACCTCTTCTTTTATAGTCATCAAACTGGGTTTTTCAGCACTGAGGGAGCCCTGTCTTTGTGGAAGCTGATGTTGTTGCTGCTGCAAAGAGGCACCAGCTTGTTGGTTTCCAGTCAAACTTGTTTGTTGTTCATAAACAGACTGAGGATTTGAATTGTGGTGTTGGGTTATATACATCTGATTTTGAGTTTGTTGTTGTTGTTGTTGCTGTTGCTGCTGYTGTTGTTGTAATTGCTGTCGTTCCAGGTCAGACTGATGATCATTTACAGAGCCTTGCTGGGGCATATGACTGGGAGTGGAAGGTCCACTATGCTGTGGTGGAGTCCTTGAATCAGGGCTTAGAATTCCCCCCTCTTTGAATCCTGAGTTTTGGCTGTCAGTAGATGCCTGTGGTTGGGGTGTATTACTTCCTGCTGAGGGAGAGGAACCCATATGTGGGGTAGAGGGCTGGGAATGCCCTCCTTGATCTTGGTTCGACTGACTGATCTGCGTCATTTGCTGCTGAGATACAAGTATGCGTTGGGCAAGAATGTTCTGTTGTTGTGGAATTAACTGACCCTGGGGTCCCCTGGGTGCTGGGTGACCTGGAGATCCAACCACACCTTGCGGACCCATGATCAACTGTGGCCTCTGTTGCTGTAACGACTGGTTCCCAATCAATCCTGGCTGAGCCGCCATCATGGCCTGTGAATGATTAAAAGGCTGGCCTGCTGCAAGATTCTGCTGTGATGGAGCCACCGACTGACCTACAACCATTCCTTGTGGGACCTGCACCATGCCCTGTGGATTAGCTTGATTAGCAGTCATTCCTTGCTGAGTGTTTGCTTGCTGTTGTGCCATAAGCTGATTTCCCATCATCCCAGCCTGCGGCTGAGCTATTAAACCAGTCTGTTGATTTGGGTGTGGCATTGGTTGCTGCCCCATCATCACTTGCTGCTGCTGTAGTTTTGCCATCTGCATTCTGTGAAGTTGTCTTTCTTGAAGAAGCCTTGGGTCTGCCCCTTGCATTCCAGGACCCTGGGGGAAAAATCCAGGTTGAGGCCCTGGCGGACCTGGCGCCCTTGCCCCATTGGCTCCAAGAGCTGAAGGAACCTGCAAATGCGGCCCACCCATGAAGGGCTGTCCTTGGGGCATTCTTAAAGGCATTCCCACTTGGTGCATCATGCCAGGGTGCTGGCCCATTACTGGTGCTCCCTGTTGGCCCATCATCATCTGGCCAGGCATTTTGGGAAACATGTTTGGGGGCCCCCCCTGTGCAGAATGACCCGGGGTAAGAATACCTGAGCTTTGTTGATGCTGCTGTTGTTTGCTTCTGTACTCTGCAATAAGATTTGTGTGCTCCTTCTGTTGCTTGCGCACCTGAAACATTGTTTATGAACAGCAGAATTAACATTTCACACGTCGTCAATGTACAAATCAAAGGTTTTGCAGAAGTTTAAAAAAAAAGAGTATAAAACAAAAATCAACAAACCTGGTCAAGTTGTTTCTGAATTTTACTTTGCTCCTCAGTTACCAACTTCAGTTTCTCTGCATCTGCCTCAGCAAACTCTCTGCCAGCTTTTTTAGCAGTGCGTTGTTTAGCACACAACGCTTTGCGTGATTTTCTGTGAACTCCAATCTGTTCTTCTAAAAATTTTAACTGCATTTGAAGTAACTGCTGGGTATGTAGAAGCCATTCTTCGTATTGATGCTGTTCTGCATCATCTGTAAAATAAGAGAATATATAACTTATACTTGAAAATAATGAATAAGGTAATAACATTTAAAAAAATACTTTTCAAAGAGAATAAAAGTAAAACATACTGATTATTCCCTGCACAAATTGTGGTGGGTTGGGTCTTGACTGGGTAGGATCAGCCGTTTCTCCCTCCTAAACATATAAATTACTTTTTATTTGTATAAAATGACATTTTAAAAAAGCCACTAACTCCCAAATAATGACAACATACCTTTAGTGGCCCAGATGTAACCTGAGCTGAATCTGTGCCAGGGGCAGAGGCCAGCCGCTGAGCAAGCAGAGAAACTTGTTGCCTTTATAAAAATAAAAAAGATCAACACATGAAGTCTAAACAAGACTGTGTATGGAATATTCCAAATACTGAGCTAAAATGTACAATTTACTAGTTATTTACCAGAAAAATAAGTTCTTGACTTGAAATTCTAAATCTTTTTAGAGAATGTCCTGGCTGGAACATTACACTTTTGGCAGGTACCTGTGTTGGCTAGGTCAAACGGTACTGTAAATTTGTAATGCAGAACTGGTACAAAAACAACAATCTATATTGTGCATTATAGAGTCAATAACTCAGCCATATAGGTTAATTGTCTGCCACAGTCTCTAACCTCTTACAAGCAAGTCATAAGAACTTGTTTTCTTGTTTATTATTTGGGTTATTAAAGAACTGAAGGACCTATTTGAATTAACACTGTAATTTATCCATAAACCAAAAGGCGTAATCTAAGACTTTTCTTTAGCACTGATGAGCATATGAGACAAAAGCATTCAAGTCATGGTGTTTAAGTTTTATGCTGAACTGAAGCACCTGTTAATGCCAGATGGAACACCCATTGGATCCTGCGCCAACACTCTTTTAATACCCTTGAGAGCTACCATCTTTGCCTTGGCAATTGGATCCATAATGTCGTCTGCAGCAAATTTGTCCAAATCTATCACACACAGACACAAACACACACACACAAAAATGTTGCTGATTAAAAAAAAATCATAAAACCAAAAAGAATAATACATTGACAGTAATAAGTCATTATAGTTACCTTTATCTGGGAAGAAGCTGTTGGCCAGTGGTGACTGTTTAACAACTTGTTGCGGTGGATGACCAAGACCTGTGTGCATTCCTGGCTGTCCTGCTCGAATCACAGCCTGCTGCTGGGACATAGTCATGTGAGGCTGAGGTACCATACCAGGTCCCATAAGCCTTTGTTGCTGCTGCAGCATGTGGGGAGCACGGGGTACCATTCCCGGTTGAGCCATCATTCCCGGGGCTGGAGGACGATGCTGATGTTGCAGCATCAGCTGTCCCGATGCCTGCAAGTTTGGATGTTGGCTTGGAATACCAGGAAAGTGTGAAGGCATGGCTCCTTGTTGAAGTGAACTCATCTGTTGCTGTTTCTGTAGTTCCTTCTTTTCATGCTCCAGAAGATCTTGAATGAGAAGTGGCAATTCACCGTCTAAGGAGCTCTCTACCTTTGCCAAATCTACTGCAGGGGAGTGCTGGCCCCCAACATCGGGCAGTCCCAGTGGATCATCACTGATATCTTCACGTGGGGCACCTGGAGGAAAACGATCATCTTGGCCTGGTAAGGGGTACGACAGTCCTCCTAATCGAACAGAACTGAGCGAGGCTGACTGATTTTCAGTTTGTGCTAGCTTGGCCGTTGATGTTCCAAGCAACATTGATACAGCCTCACCCATTTCATTTTTAACCTCAGTGTGTTCTGACTGCAGCTGAGGGGTTTGACCTTTGCCCTCGACTTTAACTTTGGAAGCTGCAGCAGTATTTGAGGTGGGTGGCAGCTGGGGAGCAGATTCTCTTGTAGCAGTTGAAACTGTTGCTAAAGAGTTTTGTCTAAGATCAACTTTGGCTTTTTCTTCCACTTTAACATGGACAGATCCATGGAGAGATGAAGGTGCTTCGCTTTCTGCTTCTACTCGCCGCAGCTGGTCTGAAAAGACATCCTTAGGGTCACCTTGGTCCAGTTCGGGGTCAGTGTAAGCCAGCAGGTCAAATTCATCACTATTAAGCAAGTCGTCTAGATGTGGATCGTTAGTTTCAAGGTTGCCCAGGTTCCCCAAGTCATCRTCGCCTTTGTCAGGATCTAAGTCCAGAGCCAGATCATCCTCATCCTCCACGCCTCCATCCCCGGGAGCATTACCTAGCCCTTCAAGGTCATGCTCTGGCATTTCCTCCCGGCTCCCTGCAGTTGCAGCCTGAGGCTCTGCCATTACACCTGGTTGTGCAAGTCGATGCTGCTCAGTACTCTGAGTGCTTGAACTGGAAGTAGCTGCTTGAGGCTGCAAACAAGGCTGTTGTGATACAGATCCTGTAGTCTGCTGAGGCAGTAAAACTGGAAGACCACCTTGTGGTAACCCTAGCGTTGAGTCATTGGCTCCTTCTGTTTGAATACTCCCAGCTTGAGCAATGGGATGCTGCTGTAAGTAAGGTGCAGCCATTTCTTGTGGTGAAACAAAGAGGCGTGGCCTCGGCTGGGGTCCTCGAGGCATGAACTGTGGTCGTAGGGATGGTCTTTGTGAGTTGTGTCTCAATTCAATGAACTGTGGTGGAGGTCCCTGACCCAGTGGCTGCATGGTCTCTCCTCCATGTCCTGGCATAAGGTTGTGAGGGTTACCCATGCTTTCTATACCTTGAATGTTGACAGCAGAGTTAAGATTGTGCCTTATGCCCAATCCTTCCATCCCAGGCTGGGGCAGCCTCCTTTGACTCTGAGCCTGGTTTTGCCATTGGGGAGGGAACGGGGGCCGATTAAACATGCCATGAGGCCTCGGGGGCCCTGGCATCCTGTGGGGAAAAAATTATATATTTCAATTTAAATAATGTCAATAATTAGATATAGCTGAAGTCAAAGGATATAAGAGTGCCAAATATTGTGGTGGTAACTATATTTTCTCATATAATTGTGCTTCTAGAGTGATTACATAACAGGAACATTACTGGAGCTTCTAGTGTATAAAAGTGCCTGCCTTAGTCCACCAGCATCCACAATGGCAGATGTTCCTGTAGGCGGTGGGCGAATAAGCTTGTCATCCATGCCTCCTACTACCACAGGCAGATTCCCAGCCATAGAAACCTGAGCTTCAGAGGTAGCAGGGACAACACGATCCTAAAGAAAGCAATAATAGCAAATTAATTAAATGAATTATTCCTTTTAATTCTAAAACTTAATTACTGTTGTCTATCATTCAGTATTAAATATTCAAGTCATTCAATTTATTTTACAGAAACTCTACAGAAAAGATTTGTGATATTAATGTAAAATATTTTATCATCACACAACACCACCTCACATTATAAATCACAATAAAAAGCATGCTCTACCAAATACAACAAACTAATTCAACCACAAAAATAAGCTAATTTCTTCATAAAGAATTTGCCAAAAATGATTATCTGGTGAAATCAGCAAATGAAAACATAAGACCAAAAGACAAGGAGCTCTTCCTGTGCATCACTCTACCAGCTTGGTCACTGTGAGATTCTAACTGTGAGAGAAGCTAYCTTTGTAGCCTTTCTCTGAGTCAGAAGACATGACCCTGAGAGAAAAAAAAAACTAATTTGCAAAAAGTTCTGAATGCTCTCTGCACTGCTTTCCTCAACTTGTACAATAAAATATTAGGACCTACCTCAAACTGCATTAACAAAATATTAAGAAAATAAAAATGTGTAATGCTGAGACCATACTGCTGAATATGTACCTGTGGATAAGGTGGTGGTGCCCTGTGGGTCTTATCCTGTTGAAAGGCTGTCATCTCTCCTCCAGACCAGCCAGGGGAGGCATTTCCTGCAGCAGAAGCAGCAGCCGCAGCGGCTGCAGCTGCCTCCTTCTCTTGTCTGATTGAGTTTTTCTGCTTTTGTTGTCTGATTATGAACTCCCTTAGTTTCTGGCGCTACAAAAGAACACAAAAAAAATCTGAGTTTAGTTAACTATTATAGAAAATCAGACTGAGTTTTTGCAAACCATTTTGGTGAGTTTTTACACCTGTTTGTGTTTCTCCAGCTCAGATGGACTAAGCCCTACTAACGAAGGGTCCTGCACTGCTGATAGGTCAGACATTTCTTGAGTGCCGGTTAAAGCTGGCTGATGAAGCAAGTCTGGAGGATGAACAGCTGGTAGTTCTTGGGATCCAGAAGTAGGTGGAACCCTGGAGCTGAGATTGTCTGCCCCTTGAGATTGTGGCTGTGATTGCTGAGGTTGACCCTTTGCCATTTGAGTCTGCTGTTGACTGTTCAGAGAAGATCCTGTACTGGGGCTGCGAATGAAGGAGGGTTTACCAGAAGTTGGATCCCCTGTAGAACTGTTACTAGGATGGGTTGGAGGTGGCTGGTTGGAAGGAGGGGAGGTTTTGTTGCAGCTTCCAGCTCCCTCTGGTGGAAAAGAGGGAGTGCAAGGGGGATTGTGGATAGTAGCAAATGGGTCTCTAGACTGTGGCCTTGAAGGTGGCTTAGAACAAGGGTCTGGAGATTGGAAACGAGGGGTAGCAGGAGACTGTACAGAATATGGATCATTAGACACACCACCAGGAGTGTGAGGAGACTGAGAGCTGCACTGGGACTGTGGACTAGAGGGGACTCTAGGTCCCTGTTCTTGTTGCACTACAATTTGTCTCTGAGTTCCAAGAGTGCAACTGTCACCTGATTGTGGCCTGGGAGTTAGTGATGGATGAGTATGAGGGTCAGAAAAAGTGTGGGAAGGAGACTGCCTGTAGCTTTCAGATGGATGACTGGGGGAGGCTCCAGGGTGGACCCCTCCACTCTCCCCTTGGTGCATACGAGGGGTCATGGGTGCCTTGAACAAACCGTCCCCAGAATCCATTCCAGCAGGAGAGCCAGTGGAAAGTTCAGGCCTTCCAGTAGAAGAGCACAAAGAAGGTGCACTTATTTCAGCCCTGTACTGCCCTGCACTTGCAGGTGAGGAGGCCACTGCAGCAGGTGATGAAGATGAACCATGTTCTGACCGTCCCATTCCCTGCTGAGTTCTGAATGGGTCTCCATGGTGAGCACTGTGGGGTGGTGAAAAGATGGGTGACTCCGCAAGCCCAGGACCTCTTGAACTGGGACTTTCAGGAGGTCCTAAGGACTCATGAGAGCTTTGCTGTGTTTGTAAGTGATGACCCTGTTGCTGCTGCAGTTGTGATCTGAAGTAGGGGTCAACCTGCTGAGCTCGTCTGGGGGTTCCAGGAGTTCCTGGTTGCATGTCGAAAGGGCCAAGACTGTCTGGCCGTCCCTGAGGAGGACCCTGTGGGCCGGAAGCAGAATAACCTGAGGAAGAGGCCTGTAAAGAACTGGCCCCAGCATGAGAGAAGGGCATGGTTGGATGTGAGTGAGAATGGGGTGATTGAGATGGAAGTTTGGCCAAAGGATCTGTCCTGCTGTCAGCTGACAATGGTGTCTTCATAGGTCCATCTGGGAAAAATACAGAAGATGATCCAGAGTCTGGAGGGTAGGAGAATGAACTGTCTGCTGAACTTGGATAGGAAGAAATTGATGTAGAAGGTGGCGGAATCTGAAGATGCAAGTTCGGCCGTTCTCCTTTAGGACGGCTAGGTTCTGTTTTGATTGGCCTGCAGACCTGACTCTCTGCCTGCTGTTAAAAACAAAGTAGAAAGTACAAATTACGTTAAAAATAGTCAATAGACAACAACAGAACCAAAAGAAAATAGTAATACAGAAAAATGGAACACCGATTTACCTTCTGTGCCTTGTTAATCCTCTGAGCGGCTCGGTTATCTTTGGCCTTTTGCTGCAATTAAAAAATATATATGAATGAACTCTTGTTTACCTCATCGCAAAAAAAAAGTTAAACATCAAAAATCTGACATTATGTTTGTTGCAATTTACTGAAAAATTCCAAGATTTTCCATTGCTTTATATTTGAATTTTTATGCTTCTAACTATTTCTACACCAAAACTAGTTTGGATGTAATCTAACTCAAGCTTTTTGTAAAAATTGCATTAAAAACAGCTTCAGAATATCTCAGCACAGCTCATTTGCATATCTTAGCTCCAACATCTACTTTAACACTATCCACCACTAGATTTCCTCCCTCAAAATTACTTTTGCTGACTCTCCTGTCTGAGATGTTCTTATCATCATTTGAATGTAAACAAATGACTTGTCAACACGATTCTGGTGAATTTCCTCATTTATTACAAATTACACAGTAGACTTCTGGAAGTGAATGATGTGAACTTGTGTGTAGTTATTTTATCATAGAAGATATACATGTACAAAGATTTGAAATCAAAAACATTATTTTAATCGTTTAATTTGACTACTAATGTTGCTTTAAAAGTAGACATGTGCTTTTAAATCCTTTTTTCACATTTAAATCATTTAATCGGGGCCTATATAAAGTGGAACTGCAATGCTATGGTCTGAATTCCTTCTTATTGTAACTCTACAAGCCCCTCTTTCTCCCCTTTTCTGAAGTGTGTCTCTAAAATCCAAACAAGGCACTTCATAATGACCCAAATGTGTTGAGAATTTACCAGATATGGAACCTTGTCTGCAGCAGACACCTTCCTCCAGATTTTCATTATTTGTTTACAGCGACTTGACCAGTCTGGGATGGAAAACACGTTTAATAACTACTCACCAACAACAGCATGACAATAGGTTTATGCTGGTGTGACATTTCCCTTCACTAACCTGGGTAGTCCTGTTTAAGAGTTGGGAAGTTGGTATTGGCATAAAGAACAGGGGAAATGGTTGAGAGCTCTCCCAGCTCCTCGTCCTTTTCCCAGCGCTGCAGACTGCGCTGGTTGTAGGACAGCCCATCACCTTCTGTCTCTGTGGGGGTGGGTGGGGAGGAAGGGGTTGCTGGGGTAGAAGGTGTGGCCCATGGACTCTCCTCACCCCCGTCTGGACTAAACAGTCCTCCTCTATCACTAAACAGCAAAGAAAGAAACTCGCTTTAGTAAACTTTGAACACTTGTATCCGTCTTGACTGGACAAAGTAAAGAAAAAAACTAATGTGGCAGAACTCCTGGATACAATTGTTGCTAAATAAAAAGGAATTTAATATTGGTCATACCGCATATCAAAGAAGGGTGACTGAGAGAGAGCAGGAAAGGTTTCCATCATTCCAGTGGAGGGCAGGGGTCCTGCAAGAATAAGTGAGYTTGAATCCCAAAGACAGCCTTAGATCCCAGACCCATAAAATCATTTTAATTTTGAATAACACCCTTTAAATTAAAAATTATGGTTTCAGTCTTATAGGGTGTGTCATATCGAAATATTTCTTTTAATCAGCAAAGGTATTTTCTAGGGCTGCAACAAACGATTATTTTAAGAATCGATTAATCTGTTGATTATTTTTTCAATTAAACGGCCAAATCATTAAAACACTTAATTACATGAATATGAGTAAATATAAATTAAGTTAAATCCTTAAGGATGCGTTATTGATTATGAATTAATCTGAATTTGATTTATCTTATAGATTGATTAACAATTAACTAATAAGCAGCCATTTAAAAAAAACTGAGTTTTCTCTTGAATCAAGAGGGTCTTCCCATAAAATCAAGGATTTTTTTATTATCTCCTGAATTAAAAAAACAGAAGCACATAATACATATTTTAACAATTTATTTTGCCAGCTGTATTAAACACTGACTGAAAAAAAATGTGTATTTCTCCTACATGAAACATAACAGAAATTTAAYAGGTTGCTGAATGAGGAAAATAGATTAAAATAATAAAATACCATTTTAGATGTAAAACTATTATTAATTTATTATAATTAGAATTAATTTACATTTAACATTTATTTTTTCTCTAATTCTTTTCTTTTTGTTTCATTCTTGTTGGTTCTGTTTGACTAAAACATTGTTCTGACCCAGTAACTGGTTCTGAAGCAGCCACCCTCCTCATCCTCCCCTCTCCCTGCAGACCTGCTGCTCGATCGCCCTTTTTTTTCCTTCGTCCTGAAACTTTTTGCTGCTCAACAAATAACTTTGGGCCTCAGTCAGAAAAAAACTGGAGAGTTTATACTTTTGGACCCCAGAGGACGACGAAACGGTGGATTTAAGGTCTCCATCCCCCCGCACRCACTTCCTCCTCGCGACGCAGCACGCATCAAATCAGACGTCTTTTAAAAAGAATAAATTTAGCATATACTTTTTATCATATCTTAAGATCTACTTGGCTTAACAACACGATTTAAAAACTGGTTTAAAGTTCAAAGTCTCTGCTTTTCAATCAAGAGTCAGAGAGGGCGGCTCTTTACAGGTAGAGTTTTTTCCTTTCTTGGTAACTAACTGTGGTCATTTTGACAACGCTCTGCCGGTGACGTAATCAGCTCCGCGACAYGGCGAGGGACGCATAAATCCCGTGACAATGATTCGATAATGAAATTCGTTGCCAACGCTTTTAATAATCGATTTTAATCGATTCGTTCTTGCAGCCCTAGTATTTTCTAAAAATAAAAAAAATGGTATTCTAATAAACAGACACTGTTTTATGAGAGTTAATGCAACCAATTAGAAAGGTTTTTAAAGCTAATGCAGGTATTCCTTATACAAACCTGACAGAAGAGGTCTCTGTGGCACTGAGCTGGGATTTGGTTCTCCCTTATTGGCCTCCAAGATTGGCTTCATGCCGCCTAAAGGGGAGCCATCTTGCACTCCAAGAACCTTCCTGAAGAACTGCTCAGAATCCTGACTCTCCACTCCCTGTGGAAGACCTGTTACACAAGGACAACGAAGTGAAACAGAATCAGGTTTTTGACTTTTCTTTTTGTTTCATACTGTTGATAGAAAAACAAACAAGGGAATTACCTTCACTTTTTTCTGCCTCTGAGTCATTGGGATAATCTGACATCTGGTCCTTTGCCAATGAGGATGATGCAGGAATTCCTAAAATACTTTTACTGTTTAGCAAATTTGAAAATCTTAAAATTGTAAAATTAAACTTCAATGTTGAAACATTACCTGCACCATCTCCCTGAGCCTTGGGGGCTTCACCCACCTCTTGCTTGAAAGGAAAATTACCCTCCACAACCCGATCCTTGCCATCAGCTGCAGAGAAAATACTAGTTACCTTAGCGGCCTTTTTGTACACCTTAAATTACAAATACTTCAAAAACGACATCACTGATCATGATTATGTTCTTACTCTCTGGGTTAACCCTGACTCCAGTTGGTAACAAAGGTCGAACAAGGCATGGACCGGTCCTCTGTCCTGGGGCTGTCATCACAGATTTCTTACTCAAGTCTATTAATGTCTTCCCAAAAAAAGCCTCCTGAAATTAATTTACAAATTTTATATGTGAGAAAAACAAATGATGGACATCATTGGATGCTTTATGTTTAAAAACTGATTTGGCCATGGGCATAGGGTGACTACCAACCTGAAGATACGCTGGAAACATGTCCTCAAGTTTGCTCTTCTTTCGGCCTCGCCTCTTTTTGGCCTGTTCCTCACCTTCAGATGGTTTGGGATCCATTATATTATCTGTGTCTGGGTGAGGACCTGCCCACACAGAGTCATTACACACTCAGTTTCCCAATATTACTATTAATATTAAAAAAATAAATACAAATAAAAAGTTTCCCAAAATTACACACTTTACATTTAATGCATGGAATCATGAAAAAAAATGCAATACAATAAAAACAGAACCAAACCCATACAATTTACACTCCCTGCAAGAAAAAAAACAACTATTTAAACATTCCTTTAACATATAACAGTGTGATAATTGTGACAAATATACTAATATCTAAACACAATTTTTGAGCTTGAAAAAATTATTCCATCATCACCCACCTTCTTCAATGGTTCGCTCGATCGGCTGCCCGTCTAATGTAGTTTCTCCAGCCAGCTGAGCAAAGAATTCTTTCTTCATCCGAGTGTGACATTTCCTTTGTCGCACCATGAAGCCCCCAATCCCTGGTAAAATTAGTCATATATCAGTATTTTACAACTGTTAAAATATTAACAATGACGTTAGAAGTGGGGTGACAAGTTTACCAGGTCTGTAGGGTTTCCGCTTCCTTTTCTTGCTGTCATCCGTCTCTTCTGCCCCACCTTTAAGTCCCTCACAGTCAGCCACGCCTTCAGCACCTCCTTCTGCACCTGCTTCCCTCTCACCACCTTCTCGATCGGGGCTCCCTGGTGGCTCCAATTTGGTGTCGCAATCCATTGGTTCCCCGCAGCCTAATAATATAAAAATCTAATTTGAAAAAAGGTCTGACAAACTATGAGCATATTACTGACAAAATAATATGAAAAAAAACGAACCAACCTTTTCCCTCCTCTCCTTCTCCGTCAACCTCTCTCATATCCATTCCATCAGGACCTCCATCACAGCACAGAGTGCCAAGACGGGATCGCCTTTGCCGCCTCTTGTGCAAAGGAGACATGGAGATGCTACGGAGCAGGGACATCCCCGACTCTGTTAACCACACACCCTCCAGTCTGTAGAACTGGGGCTCTGTAAAGTGAGATTGTCAAATCAGAATAACTTGAAGGGAAACAGAATGTGCCAGAGTACCAATGATATTTATTTTTTTTAATAAAACTCACTAACCTGGCTCTTTGATCTTTATTGACGCCATAATGGCTGACTCTACTACTGAGAACAATGGGAGTRCACAGGGAGTGAAGGTAAAAACAAAATTGTACAATCAGTAAACATTAAGACAATAATTTTTGTCTTCAGTTATAGTTAAGCTGTGTCATTTAGAGACTCACCAACAGGTTTTGGAACATATGGGGAACAAGATGTGCATGCAAAGCCTTCATCAGAAGCTTGTTCCACCTCATCCTCTGTGTACAGGCTCTCACAGACAGCATGAACCCACCTAAATGAGCACATAAATACATCAAAATGCACACTTTTCGTGAATAAAAATGTTGTGAAATAACTGACGCTGTGAAAAATAATGCATTTTCTGTTTGTCTTCATAAGCTGCAGTGTCTTGAGTTTTTTTTAGTGCGAGGCACTCACCGATCACAGTACTGACACTGCAGCAGCAGCTCTTCTTCCATGAAGTTTTCTCGGCACACTGGACAGGTGACGAGGCTAGCACAAGGGCCACAATGTGTGTAGTTGTTCTGCCACTCGCAGTGGAAGCCTGGGGAGCTGGAACCACACTGAACACAGCACACACACCTGGAAAGAAAAAGCCCGCATGTCTTAACATTTATCCACCTCAAATGAAAGAATTAAAAAGGTTGCCAAAAAGCTGCAGATCCACATGATCAATGTAATGTTGTTATGCTACAAAATAAAGAGGCAAAGCAATGGCATTTTGAATTGCTAATGCAGCGCTGGGATACTGTGTTTCAGTGTTTTACATAATATGCAAATTTACATGCATTCATTTCCATTTGACCCAATTCAAGAGCGGCAAAGAAGAACAGAATATCTCACACTTAGAAATAAAAAAAATATATATATACATATACCATTTGCACTTCCAGCCACCCTTTGGTACAGTGTGCAGGGGTGGGTCCAGGCAGTAGGTATGATAGCTGACATCGCAGTCATCGCACAGCAGCAGACGAGAGGGGTCTGATGCCTTTCCACACACTTCACATACAATACACTCCAAACATCGCCAGCCCTTACGAAGCTTCGTCTTTGTAATCTGCAAAGATAGAGGGTTTAATCTGTGAGCTCTGACCAAGTACAGCTGTATAAAAAAATAAAAAATAAAAAAACAGCTGAAGTTTAACACKGCTCTTACTTTGCTGCTCACACAGTAAGGATGGTAACACTGGGCACACTGAGCACAAGCCAGCAACTGTCCCTCTACCCCCTTTCCAAAACTGCCACACACGACACACATATCCTGAAACAAAGAGGAAAAAAGTGAAAGTCTAATTTAGAGTCCATTTGGAGAACATTTAAATCTAACAAAATTCAGCTCTTAACATACCAAACATAAGTAAAATAACTGGAAATGTCAAACAGAAGGTGTACCTGCAGCAGGACAAATTTATCAGTGTTTGAGAAAAGAACCACCGTGTTCTGCATGGTGTCATCTTCATCATCGTCTTCCTCCTTATTTACCCCAGTGTCTAAGGTCATGCTTAGCTGTGAGGGGGACCGCAAGTATGCAGAAATGCAATTTMATTTAACAAAAAGCAATCGAATGATATTATGTTCATCTAATGGTAATCAAATGATGCAATGAATACTCACCAAAAAGGCATCGATGCAAGAAGCCATGGCTTTGAGTCGTGACCTCCCACCACGCCCTCTCCCCCCACCACCTCCTCCTCGAGGCCTGCGCTTTCCAGGAAAACTACTGCTCCGCCCCTTCAAGTTAATGAACAAATCATAAAGCTTTGTTATCAAAAGAACATTTTCAAACCAAAAGCATCGAGCTGTTATGATGACCTCACCTGTTTGATTCTTGAGCGTCCCGGGGATCCCCTACGCTTTGCCTTCTCTCTGTCACTTCTGAGGGGTTCAAAGGGAAGCGAGTCGTCTGTCTCCGTGAGGTTATCTGTGTGTGAGTGGCCAGCTGGTATGAGTCCAAACTCCATGGAGAGCTGAGGATCAGGTTCTCCCGGAGAGCCAAGGAAGCCACTGCTGCTTTCATCGCCGTGGCTCATATTGGACATTTCATCCAGCAGAAATTCTGGCTTAAGTTCYTGCTTTATGTCCACATTATGTCCTTTAATTTGTTCATAATCATCTTCCTCTTCTTCTTCTTCCTCATCATCAGAGTGAGGAAGTAACTGCTCCTCCATATCCATTGCAGAGAGGGCCTCTGGTGTGTCTGCTGATAGAGTAAAAGGTAGGAGAAATCAAAGCTCCTCTTCTTTCCATTGTCATTTTATAAATTAAAAGATTATCAGCATCCTTAACTTAAACAACTCATTTTAGCGAAAACTAAAATCTACGATTTTTTTCTTTGTGACCATTTTAACGTGTATGTTTTGAAATTACCTGTAGACACAAGACGACGAGCAGCTGGCATTTCAGAAGTAAACCGTTCTGCTGAGATCTGTGACTCCATGGTTGTTTTCCAAGCAGTTATGTGAGCTGAAGACTCCACCTCTAAATTTAAAAAAAAAAATACACAGTACAAGTTTTTAAATGGGCACTGACATAACATTATTTTAACAAAATGCTACATTGAATTTTATAGTAAGCTTAGTCCTCAACATACCTAAGTCCATAGGTGTCTCTTTTTCAGGTTTATTATGAGCAACAATAACCCCTGGTGAGCTTTTCTGTTCAGATGACACGTCTGATAAATCTGCTCGTTTTTCTGTGAAAGTGTCCGCCTTTGCTTGGATCGTCATCTCCTCTCCAGTCTGCAGCTCTTCTGTTTGACTGACAGGCTGTTGCTGATCCTCTTTACAAAGCAAGCAAATAACCTTGGCTTCAGGAAACTCCCCCGATGACGCACATTCGCTGTGCATCCATCTAAGACAACCAGAGATCACCGTATTTATTTAATCAAAACAGGAGTGATGCAACCATAGGAACCTATGCTGTGTGTTAAACTAACCTGCGGCAGATGCTGCAACAATGAAGTCCAACAGATGGGTTGGCAGCTTTGCTGCACACACAACACACCGAGCTCCGTTGATGCTGACATCTCTCACATACGCTGTAGTTATCAAACCACTGGGCTGAACCTGGTAGCACCAAACCACGGGCACCGCACTCCAAACACACACGACATCTCTGATGTAGTGCAGATCGCAAGAATTAAAACGATTGACAATGCATGTAAAAAAATCTCACTAGTATATTTTGGTTTGAACAACGGGTTTATTTAAAGACTATAGCAATTCCCTGTAAAAAGTGAGGAAAAGAGCATCTTACTCTGCATTTCCATGGGTCAGATGGAAGAGAGTCCATGGCTGGCTGAAGACAGAAGGTGTGGTATCCCTTATCACAAGCATCACAAACCAACATTTTGGAGTCTTCCCCTGGTTGTCTGAGAGCAATAATCATTGAGAGAGATTTTTTTCTTAGTACAAGCATAACGGTTTTCTTTTACACATTGAACAAATGACCATGTTCCAAATATGTGAGCAGTGCAACTCAAGAGTACACGCTCACCTGCAAGTCTGGCACACTTTGCACTCGGGACACTGCCATCCTGCTCGTTGAATAGGTGTGGCACCAATTTCCAGACAGGTCGCATGATAATGTAGGCCACAGCCCGTGCAGAAAAGCAATTCTGTGAGCTCCCCAACAGAGTCACACACTGCACACCAAGCCTCCTCTCCAGCTATTTACAACATACACACACAAAAAAAAACAATGAAGAACTATTAAATGATCATATCTGTGAAGGTARATTAAATAAATACAGGACAGTGAAAAGTGAGATTATTTTCAGCAAGCAAAATAGATTTTTACAATTTAAGACATAGTGCCATTATAGTTTCTGATCACTTTTTAAGTAAGGATAAATATGCAGCTAATTAACAATGGCGCGCTTGAAATCTCTTAGAAGACAAAAATCAATATTTCTTTCATAATTTATCACCTCCTTAATGTAATATTATATGATATAGTTTTTGGTAAATACTGGTCCTCCTACCCAGCTCCTCTGCCTTGTCTATGTGCTCTGGACAGAGAAGAACCAACTGCTTCATGGACTGGAAGGATCCACTGGCTGCCGAACACGGGAAGTGGTAGAATCTTGAACAGTCCTCTATGTGGCATCGTATGGTTGCCCCCAGCCTTTTGCAATAATCACAAAGCTGAAACAAATCAACGGTAGCAAGCATTACTTACTTGTACAGGAGTGTRTTCATTTAATTACTTTATTATACCTTCTATGGAACATCAAAAGATGGTACACTTACTCGCTGTGTCCCTGAGATAACAGCCTTATCCACATTCTCCAGCTCTTCATCCTCTGTTTGCTTTACCTCGTCTGACCACACTGCACACCAGTGGTGAACCCAACAACCCCCTGTTTGTTATAAAGCCATACATCAGCATAATGTCTAAAAACATCTCAAGTTCAACAAATATCCACCTTGTATCTACTTGAAGAAAATGATTTGTTAATAATGTTTACATTCCACTTCATTTTAATACAAATAATATAGTGACATGTTCAAAGTTCAACCTGAGTCATCAAAGAGTGCCGTCAGACAAGAAGAGTCAGAAAACCCAATGGAAGACAGGTCATCATTTCCAGGCTCTGGCAGTGGGAAAGCTGATGGCTTGAGAGRTGGCCGCTGAGAAGACGACCTAAAGTGTCGCAGTTCCCGCTGTCCATGCAAGCTCCGTTCCACACAATTACAGAGCGCACAGGCACGAGCACTCTCTCTGCTCAAGCACAAACAAAAATAAACACAAAGAAGAGGTTTGGTTTACAATCAGCAACATTAATGGGGGGAGCTGTAAGCACTTTGGCTTTTCTGGTGTGAAATCAAGAGCTTACATAGGTGTGCTRGAAGGAGCTGCAGTAACACCAGACTCATCCTCAATCGCACAAGAGGCCTTGGACGACTCATTGGGAGAAATGGGCTGATTTGCAGAGGCATTGTCATCAGCTGGGCAAAGAGTGAAAAATAGATACAAACGTTTGATCCCCTGTCACATCAAATTAAAAATCACATTCTATTAGAAWAAGAAAACAGTGTGCTAAGCACAYAGAAAAACGTTACCTGTTGGTTCAGAGTCATTTTCTTCGCAGTTCGACTTCTGCTCGTCCATTCCCCGCTCTGATTTTGACCTCTTTTACAGAGATCTACAATTTAAAAAACATGCACAGCTTCAGCTTTCAGTGTYGATCAAATAGATAATTACTTCCTACATAAAATCAATGAGTGCTAATGTCAAAATCACTAAGCCTTTGTTATCAGTGCATTACTAAGGGAATCATGTTTCCAATAATAAAATTAAAAAAAAAAAACTCAAAATTAATGGTTTTCTTATAAAAGCAGTTTGTTAGCATCCAGGTTTAACCTTTAGTGAGATAATGCAGGGCAATGTTTGTGATATAAAAAACGTTGATGTTTAAGTGTTTTTCATCGTATAAACAAACCACCATCTTCCAAAGGCAAACAATGCAAACTACTCCCTTATCGACACAAAAGTGTTTCAAATAAAAACCACACATAACAGAACTGGGTCGATACATTATGGCTGCTTTAGGTTTAACCCGCACGAGTTTCTTGTCTTAAAATGAACGCGTTTGTAGTAATTAATGCAACCGAGATTTTACGCAAACTCACAAAAAAATAGCGCGAAGGTTACATTGTGAGAAATCTATCGTGACCCGCTTTAACAATCGTACTTAATTACCGAGCGATGCATAATCCAAGACGATGAATTCCKCCGTGGGCAAAAAAGCACTGCAGGTTGGAGCTAAAAAATTGCGTTTTGATAAATAAAACAAGCAGAAATCGGGGTACACAAAGAAAATACAACTTCCGTATGTGGAGCTTCCTGTTGCAGTAGGACTCCGTCCGTGTAGAAGCTCGTCATGCGCAGCATAGTTCCGCTTTGAGATTTCACGCTTTTCTTTGCTTTTCTTTTTTTAACAAAACGCTGTCAAACAAACAATGGACGTCGACTTTATTTAACCCACATTGGCGGATGTTTAAAAAGTAAAAAAGAAAAAATTCAAAGGAGCTGATTGCCGTCCATGAGACAAGTAGATGAAAATGTCGCTTTTTAAAATGTATACCGCGATCGTTTTTGGTGGATTACAAAACTATTATTGTGTCATATTTTAAAAACAATACGACACGTTGTTATCACACACACATTTTGTAATGTTTCCTTTTCAGACCCTCGGAGGCAAATAAACGCAGAAAAGAGGCAGACTTCTTGTGCGCTTTTTGCTGAATCAATTACAATTTACAATATTTAAATTATTTAMTGCGATATAAAAGCAAACATTCTGCATTCATTCATCATAACTGTACTTACTAAGAGACAAAATAACTAACCGCTAATGATCAAATCTTTATATTTAAATTGGGAACCAGTCACATCAAGCTGAATGGTCCTAGATGACGAGTATGTCACCATTAAAAACAACACTAAATGAATAGCGATGTAAGGGAGGCAATGGTATTTGAGTGCAGCAGCACAAAATATAAAACTATAGAGCTGATAGCAATTGAACTGAAAGCGCAGTGAGGACMATACATTAAATGGAATGTACACAAACAGAAAATCAGATGTGCTTTTCGCTTTTGCCATGCTATGTTTTAATCCCACAGCCAGAACTTCCACAATGAGACTCAATGACAGATTAGCAAACTGTTTAATGCTTTTGAACACGATTTCTTTCAAGCCATTAAATCTAATATCRTTGCAGTCTTAAGCAAACGCATTTCTCAACTAAATACTAATGTCAAACCAAGGATCTCTGAATCCAAACACTAACCTTGCGCTCGAGTTTACGGAGACACTAAATGTGCTGCTTGACTCTAAAGTTGCTCGGAGCGAAAGTAATGACACGATGTCCACCACTCGTGTTGCAAACTCACTGGTTTGTAATGTTATTAAACAGTCACAGTGTGRTGCTTTGCAGCGCCACGCTAAAAGCTACCAAAATCTAATAACAGGATAATTACAGCGATGAGCACCATTTCTCGATGTAAACAGCGACTTTAAAGGGGTTGGTTCGACCCAGCAAATAGACACGTCCATGTCACTGGCGACAAACGGATACTGAAAAGCTAGAACTGCCAATGGTGACGAAGCAACAAAGTCTGCCTAAAAGACCAGATTATGTAGAACTATATTACTCACAGGAACAATTAGTTTTAAGAAACATCAGCTGCGTTTTGTGAACGTCGTAATGTGGAAATAACCAGTGTATAATTACTAAAAGTGATCACCCAGGTGACATAACTAGCTTCCCAGCAATTAGATATACACAAAAGGTCCGGGCTTGCAGCTAATTGCTACATATAGCAGAGCTAACACCGGTTTAAGGTCAGTGTCTCAGATGTACATGCTTGCAAGATGTTGAGCCATGTTACATATAAATTACTCACCTTATAAAAACGATATAGCCTCCTCATGCATCAGCAAAATCCCGTGAGCCACACAGCGTCCAGAAATGCTGAGGGTTGCTTCATTTTGTGTACCGGGACTAGCCGGCTGCTGTGCTGTGAGAGTGGGGGAAGTGCAAGTCGGCGGAAGGCAGGCTGCGTTAGCTGTTTAACTAGATGCTGTTGTTACCAAACTAACTAGCAGCTAGTGCTTTGTATAGAGTCGCCATATGCAGTCGGGGACCTAATAAACTTAAGCACAAGTCTTCGTCCGGTCCAAAAAAGAAAAGAAAAGAAATGTTTCCCGGGGCTTCACGCAGTGGCTCCTTGAATTTAGCTTGAAGGCTAACATTAGCTAGCTTCAGCTGTGCTGTGGAATCTCGCTCTAGACTCAAGTTTGCATATATAGTGTATCCGGAAATGGCCGCACTATATACTTTGTTGACGCGTCAGAAATTATACTTTCCTTATAGATTTGATCTACTGCAGACTTTCATTTAAGTAAATTTGTAGCTTAACTTTGCTCGGGTACCCTTGTATGGGTCACTAGCATCTCCACTTCACTGCGTCGCGTCCCCACACGGCCGTTCCGCTAATAGCTAACCACTGCTAGCTTTGCTCGGCAAAACTACGTCAAAAAAACATTTCATGCAAACGAACGAGCATTAATTATGCTTTATCTATGCACATTTGTAAATGCGTTGCAGCCTCAAATATATCAGTCAACAAATCTTTTCAGTGGCCAAGTAATTTTGCGCGTTTGGGTTTTATTTTTGGAAAACGCAATCACTAAAATATGGTGGCTATTTAGATATTAGGTCATTAGATTGTCGAATCCTAGGAAGCCATTTTTCACAAGATTATGATTGTAAGATAAGAGCTGCACTGGCGTGCTGCTGGTGRGTGGTTTTGTTGGGTTTCATGATGAATAGCAATCTTTTGTTTCAACGAAATTCATTACTTCTACATTTTATATCGTTTATAAAACTGTACAACAAACTTGATGCCATTAATCACATTTTTTCATGATTCAGTCTTTAGTTCCAGCCATACAACGTGCATTCATCCGAATAAATTACCTACATGCAGGTTAAAATGAACTGCATTTAATTTGGTTCACTCAGCCGAATAAATCAGTAAGTTCGTTTGGAGGCATTTTCATTTGCATTTAGGTTATTTGTGGCTAAAATGCATTAACAGTTAGTATGTAAATTGGTTAAAATTGAGTTGGTTGATGAAACCACCGCATCCTGCAGTTTACCCTGTGCAACTCGTTACCACAGATATTTTCCTTTTTAACAGGAAACTAAAGATTAGTTTAGTTGCTTGTGTAAATAAGGTCTAAATGTTTTACAGTACAGATTTAAAAAGTGTTAGAGAGGTGGGGATTGGTTTGTTACCCATGCTGTGAGAGGGGGGGAAACAATGGTTTGGAAAGAAGTGCAAAAAAAAAAMCTCACTTTCTTTTAACCTAAGCTGCTACCATGTGGCAAACTGAATTCTAAATTCTAAGAAAAATAAAGGTTTTCTGTAATCAAAGTTGTACAGATGAGGGCAAAAAAAAGTCCTCCTGAAACACACAATCCTAAAGCGTGAAAACGTCAGTCCTACAGGAGTACTTCGGTTCTATGATGATACGAACCTCTTCTTATGATCCCAGGGTGAAAACAAAGTGGACTAAATGTTGCTGGGATGTTCCTGCACATTTCAGTTTTGTGGTGCGAAGGTTACCGTTTTAATCCACATCTGTCTCTGGCCTACAGAAGAATTTGCAAGTGTRAATTAAAAGAAGAGCCTGTGGTCAAACAGCTCAGATGTAATGGTAATTTAATGATACTTTACCTCTATTTGATGAGCACACAGTGTAACAGACTGAATCTTTTAGGAAAATGAATACTCCAACTTGCTGGAGGGTGAACTGTTGCTGATCTTACACCAAAAGAATGCTATGATATTAACAAAGGTGTCAAAAACCTAACAAATTAAAGGACAAGTAGAATATTAATTATCTTCAGCTATGCAAACTTAACCAAGAACAATCTTAATTTTGAAACAATCTGTGCTTGCAGTGAAACATAGACACACTGACTGAGATGTTTCCATTTTAAGATGTAATAATTCTTGTAGATGGTATCTAATATTGTAATTCTCTGCYTAATTGATGAGAGTGATTTGAAAACTGAGAATGAATGAAAGAAATAGTTGAATTATTTGTGCAGATGTCTCCCAAACTGAACAATTCTGTTAAAGAACAAACACAAACCACAGAACCTCAGTGGTTTTGAGATGATAACTGAACCGTTGACAGCTGCTCTTTATGAAGTCGAAACAAACAAAAAAAGAAAGTACACATTTCATCCATGGATAGTTAAAGTCCCATGTTTGCACAGTGGTACCACATCGAAGAACTCATGGATGGTTTGTACCAGTGGTTTCGATCAGAAGTGGTTCTGTGTGGTCAGCTAAAGCTTTGCCTGAATGTGAGGTGAGCATGTTTTCATTTTGAAAATAGGGTATTACTGGTCCCACTGACAGGATTACTTAATTCCCCATTCAGCTTTAGGAAAATTGGATTAGATTGCAGGGGGCTGAGTCTGGTTAGACAGCAACAGCTGATTGGTGGGCGGATGTAAATAGAGGCTGGAATTTGGACACCGGGTCACTCTTATTGGCCAGGCGGCGAAGCCAGCGCTTTCCCATCTGGCTCCTGCTTCAAGGATAATCCCCTGGAATACCTTCACAGCTGTTTACAACAGAACATAAACTAAAAGAGGAAAAAAATGGATATTTTAATTTTCTGTGACCTTTAATGTTTTTAACAGTTATACATCAAAGGCAAATTAAAAAATGCACTGTCAGAGTTTTGATAATCCAATATTTAGTCTCTTAAAATTTCACAGTTCATTTTGGCCTAATTTCCCTCTGGGATCAATAAAGTATTTTTGAATTGAATTGAATTGTTTTCCTTAAAATACTCAATGTAAATATCAAAGTCAAGTCTCTTAAGAATATATTCATCAATAAAAACGACATACAATGTTTAGTTATTTAACTCTATATATTCTTGACTTGCTTTGCAAAGGGTTGTAAAATAAGTTAGTGTTTGTCAAGTTAAATTTTAATAATTAAAGCTGTCAAGTTTATGGAATGTTTGGTGTGATTCCAAGGAAAATTTAAAGCACTGTATTAATTCCTCCACAAGGGGGTGTATAAGCTCATACCTTTCTCAAGTCAAGTCATGAACTCTTGGAGAATACAGTCTGTCAAAGGAAGAATTATTTATTTWAAAAAATTTAATATTTGCATTGTGATGCCAAAACTAGGTGTAAAAAAAAAAGTATAAATGTGCAACAATGTAAACATTTATTTCAGGCACAAACTTGAGGAATTTGCACAGATAAAAGTATCTTTTTCTGGGAAGCCTCAAAGAAGCCATTGACGCAAGAGAGTTTGCTAAAAGTCAAAGTTGTGGAACAGAGAGGAGAATATTAAGTATGTCTGAGCTTCTYATTAACCCATTAGATTACCAGATTTCCACACAAAGGCTGCATGACTGCAACATTCACGAGGCTCGACTAACAGAACTTTAAAAAAAAGTTTAAATCCAACAATACCTCCCTTTAAATGATATAATTTACTTCAAAGTTAAATTAAAAACAAACTATTGTTTCACAAAAAAAGAAATTTTTATTTGTTTTGTGATAAGACACATACAAGACGTGGAGTTATTATAAATGCAACCTTTATATATATTATGATTCAAGAAGTACAAAAATAAAAGTTCTGTTGTACTGAATACATTGACATTAGACTTTTATACCTTTTAAGTAAAAAAATAAGAAACAGATAATGTACAAATAGGCTAATATACATTGATTTTGGCACAGACCAATTGTTTATTATATCATTCATAGACTCAAGAACTGTATGTTTACAGTAGAATACAAACAAGAATCTGATAAATCATTCCAGTGTTTTTTTAATTCATAGTTCTTAGTATATTATTTATTTTCAGTTTTTGGCTTTTAAGAATTTGATAAATTAAAGTCTAAAAAGATGCAYGCTACTCTGTAGAGTAACCTAGCATACCAGTGAACGTCTGTTTGTCTTTGCAGGGCGTGCTTTTTTTGGATTTTCATCACGAGAGGTTTACTAAGATTGTCCTGTTTGTTCAGAATGTAATTATTTTCATATATATCTGCATTGTCCTTCGTGGTCAAAGTGCTATAACATGTTGCAGTCTCAGTGCAAGCTTTTTTATAGTCAATGGTCTTTACTCCCGTTGTCATCGTCTCCCCCCAGAGTAGCCGATTTAACGAGTAGAGGAGTCGCAAAGGTCCAAATGCCCAGTGTGCCAGTCTGTGGTCCTCCAACAGGGCATAGCTGGAGACCAGAACCCCATCGACAAACAGAGTTCCAGCTTCTGTCAGGGGCGCATACACTCCCACACTGTCCGTAACTGAAACGGACACTATTTGGGATGGTCGCGTTTGACCGCTTTCTGTACTGATGAGGACACAGTCTCCGGTTTTAGCTCTGCTCGCAAACCAAGCCTGGTACCCTCTCCCATCGTGCCGGCAGTCGGGGACCAGAAAGACTAAGTGATGAGGAGTTACGACCAATCTCTGTCCATCTTCTGTATCCAGCGACAGAAAGGTAGACCGGCTTTCTTTGACCTGGTGCAGAAACACGAGGACTTGGCTGTACACAATTTGTCCCGTTTCCGACAGGGCCAGAACCCTGTCGCCAGGGGCCAATGAAGACAGAGTCTTCTGCATCCCTCCAGCAAGAGTCACCCGGGCACAGCCTGGGAAGCAACCACCTCTTTCCACAGCCTCAGATTTATCTACAAAAATATTGTCAGAAAACAAACAACACACTGTCACACCACTTACTAGCATATATATTTCCCAATTTAGAACAGCGGCATAAAATCTCCCTTAAACTCACCAGATTTTACCGAGCAGTGGACATGATGCTTGGACTCGTAGTAGACCCAGTCAAATCCTGCTTCCACAGCCAGCTGAGCCAAGAGCCCATACTTTTCTGTTTCCCTGTCGTCAGTGGTTATATCCACAGCCCGGCCTTCATAGTGCAGAGAGCCTTGGGGATGGTGACCGTCTTCATCCCAGGCTTCCGTCACACGCAGGTGCACCCCTGGCCACTGGTTCATCACTGCAATGGCCAACCGGTTCAAACAATCCTTACATCGCTGCAAAAAAGAACAGAGGTGATTGTACATAAACAACTTTGTGTTCAAACAATTATTTGTCTGCCAGAAAGCTGGACAAAGTTATATTTATGAACCTAAGTATTTCAATATACTGTCTTCAAATGTAGACATCCTTCTCTAGACTACTTTGTTAAAGACCATCTCACTTTGCACAAACAATCAGAGTGCAACCTACTGTAGCCAGTTTGGCACATTCTTTGGCCTTTTCCACAGGGTGACAGAATAATCAAGGCCATTCTCTGCCTTTCCAGCTTGTTCCAGTCTTGAGTTACACACTTTCACCCCTGAGACATTTGATCAAATACGTGCACAGTGACTTTTAACACCCCCGTGGGACCATAATGTTGCAGACTGTGTCATCATTGTCACAAAATAGACGACTGGGAGGAAAAAGAAAAGAAATGATGACGCCAGCATCTGAGGTGATACACTCATCGTCAGGTCTTGTATTTCACTTGTGACCTAAGAGGGCACAGGTCTCGTGGTCTAAAAGTTACCCTTTCAAGATGACGGCAAAAGACGAAGAGCGTGAGCAGAAGTTTGGTGAGAAGAAAGCGTGGTGGAGGAGGGTAGAGGTTGAATCGAATGGGGAGGCCAGAGGGGAAGAATGTATGGGCACGGACTTGGGAATGTGACAGCCAAGAGTGAGGGGCAGAAAACAAACTGGGTACATTTCTGCCACAGCGCCATTGAGGAGAGGCGTTTCATTGTCACAACTACAATAGTCGCCTTTCCAACGGTGCCATTACTTCAGCAGGCGGGAATTTTGTATAGGCGACCCCTCTGAGTTTCCAAAATGATGCACAAAGAGCGTCTTTCACATGTGGGCAATAAAAAAGGAGACATACACACACTCGAGTTGGGTACCAGGAGGGTACACATATACAATTACAGATGTTCATCACATACAATCACTCTGGGGAAGGGAAGAAACACAGATTTACATCCATAATAATCKCTGAGACTTTCCAGAAGTGGGGCTTTAGAAATGTCAGTGTTGCCTATGACTTGAGAGTCATCTCTAAGAAATAAAAGAAAAAAAGGTGCCACACTTATACAGATCATTTATATATATGTAAAAAGCTTAAGACAAGTTTTAATGAGGAACTATTAAATGATGTACTGGTCTTATCTCTACAAAAACTGTGAGGAAAGACTGGTTCAAACACTCGACTTCTCTGTTCAGAACCTGCCAAAAAGCAGGTAGCTGAGGCTTCAGCAAACAATGAATGAGATCATATGGTTGGATCTCAAGGTGACATAAAGTGGCTGAGCTGTAGGCTTCATTTGACCCCTTCCTGTAAGGAAAGTTCATACAGGTGCAGAGAGAGGATACACCTGTCAAAGAATCTATTAGTCAACCTGCTGAGGTGAACTTCAGTGCAAGATTTTGTTCCTGAGGGYGTTTCTGTGGTTAATCCGTCTCACCTTAGTCATGAAGCGGTCTGCGCTGGTGTTCTCCTCATCCTTGAAGACAATGTCTGGATTGTAGTTGCACACCAGCTGGTTGAAGCGCTCCGAGTTGCGCGTGATCTTGCCCTCCGCTCTCCCGCTGGCCCCGATGTTGTTTTCTGAGAAGTTGGGGGAGAACTGCTTGTAGTGCATGGCCGTGAGTTTCCTGGTCCTGGAACGCATGCCGTACCCAGGGCCTGGCCCACATCCTTGGACCAGCCAGGCGCAGGTCCACACCACAAGCAGGCCGAGTGGTGCCACCAGACGGGCCCACCAGAACCGCTTCATTGGGTAGTCTTGGGGCGTCCTGGGGTCAGACGCTCACAGGTGATAGCCCAGTTCCAGGGGTGAGTGACAGCAACTGAATGAGGGTCAGGTCTTGGTCCATTCCAAATCATGGGAGATTAGTCCTGATATTTATAACATAAATATTTACAGAAGACTGCTGGAGCAAATAGGCGTCACTTAAAAAAACAACAAAAAATAGATCTTTTATTGTTTTTTGTTTTTTATTGTTAAAGATGGAAGTGAGCAAAACCAGTGCAGAAACAGATGACTATTTACTGAAGTTTGGCATCAATTTTTCAAAATGAACCCAAAAAAAAGGAAAAAAATTGAAGAAGTTTCTGAGAAGTTTCACCTTATGACTTTGCTATGAAATGAACGACATCTCCCMGTGTCCTCCTCACGCAGGTGGTTTTTAAGGGTCTCTCCACGCAGTTTCCGGTTCAAATTAACGCACACCTGAAGTCTGACGGCTCCTCTCACTGTGTGGAAGTTGTTTTATGACCGCTCCTCTCTATGTTTTCCTCTGTCCACCCAGGTAAATATCCTCTCTCTTTTTTTTCCTCCGCTCCTCCTTCGTCCACCTTTTCCCTCCGCCGCGTCTCTGCGCTCTTGGCCACCTTTGCGCCAGCCATTTAGAGCGTCCGGACATGATTGCCCTCCTTCCTCTGCGCGCTCCCTCCACCGCAGCACACGCCTCCAATTCAGCAGATGGTGAGCTCACACACACATCTCCTTCCCGTGTGTGTGTTAGCAAAATATCTCTTAAACCACTGGACGGATTTTAACGAGACTTTCAAAAAGTAATTATCGGATATTCATCTACAACTGATTAACATTTGGAGTCGATTCAAGATGGCCGCCTGAGCTAATTATGCTTAACAAACATTTAAAATAGCTTTAATTCAATCCTTTTAACAGATATTAAGCTAAAATTTAATAGCATCTGAGTTTTGTCTATAAGTTATACTTTGAGTGCAACACATTGCTCAACACTTGTTTATTTTTGCTTAAAACCTGGATTGATAGCAAAATATCTCATGAACCATTGGATGGATTTTAATGAAACTTTCCAAAATTAATACATTTATATTAATCTAAAACTGAATAACATGTGAGATCAATCGGATACAAGATGGCCGCCACATCTAACTAACATTAGTAAACACAAATTTGGCTATCAAGTTAGATAGAGCTAAAATTTGCTGTGGTCATAGCTGAAATTAGTCACAGTGTTAAAAAAAATACACAAATCGTGTTTAAAACTTTGCTGTGTAATGCAGCAGAAACTGCTTTTGCATAATATTATGTTCATTTCAATGATAAATCTACAAAAGGCTAATGTAAWAACTTTTATTTTTATAAAAAGAACCTGAATGTCTTAAGACCTTACATGACCTTCCTTTTCTTCACTCTTCCCACCCATCCCACTCTGCTGGTTTTTATTAGACAGAGTTGAAGGTGAGGGTCTGACAACACAAGTGTCCTGCCTCACYATCCCCCCACCGCCCCACTCCTGACCATGACTTACAGTGTTGCCTTCCTGTGTTCAGGGAGCCAGCCTGACCCCACCTGATACCCCGCTGAACCCCCAGGACCCCTACACTGGAAACACCCCTCAGCCAAACTGTCACGTTATTATTTTTATCCACCTCCAAACAATGGCTGGGAGACCCGTGAAAYGTGTCAGATGATGCCAGACAAGGAGCACAAAAAGAGTGATACCGTGTCTCAAGGGTGTGACATCAATAATCATGCAGGAAAGCTTAAATTAATGAGAGGTCAAACGTCAGAGTGTTGTCGCACTTTTTCTAGCTTCCTGGCTTCATCCAGTCTTTTTATGGTTCATCTCAGTCGTGCACTTCTGCTTGTTTTCATGCCTTTTTAATACAAATGAAGCATCTAATGAAGTCATTAAAAGTGCACGTTTTCTTTTTCTTGCTCAGGTCACAGAGCTCCGCCGGGTCGTAGAAAGGCATCCTTGTTGGGGGGGGGGAGCTTCTAAGATGATCCCAGGATGTTGTGGGGAGGGACGGCAGGGGCTAAAAAGGCTGCATCTTCCTGTCTTTACGGTAAACACAGACGAAGGCTTTAGTCTGGCTCAGACGACACAGATGAGAGATCTCAGCCCTCCTAACAAATGCGGGGACTCAATCAAAAAAAAAAAAAAAAGAGCAACAAACACTTTCATATCTCCAATCAGCCACTCCACAGTGTTTCTCTTCAAAGGCGTGCAACAAAAAGAGAAGGAAAAAAAAGAGAGATTTCCATCTGGCATGAAAGGGAAAGGAAGGAAGCAAACATCTGTGAGCAGGAGATGGAAATAAAGTCATTATTATTAGTTTTTATTTTGGTGCCTGCTCCCCCTTCTGCCTCTTTTTTGGCATTTCACTCCCTTCTTTCAGGATGGGAGTACATGGCCGGGTGAATGGATTCGTTTCCTGCTCTAGCCACGGTGCAAGAAAACGAGATCTTTCCTGCTTGGGTGAGCGTTCCCTGCTTTGTTCTGAGCGAATGTTTTCACCTGAGCCACTAATCAAACACCAACTGGATGTGGCTTCAAAAGTTAATCAATTGTAGCTGTTCAGTTACTGATTAGTCTCTAAAAGTGTCATTGAAATCCAGCCGGTGGTTCATGAGATATTTCGCTAACAGACAAACAGGGATGACTCCAGCAGTTAATGCCAGGATTTTACTTGAAGATGATGAATAATGTTTTGTTATTGTCAAAGTGTTTGTTGGGAATGACACTCAGCTACTACTACACCAAATTTTAGCTCATTTTATAAAAAACTGGTGGAGTTACAGCCTTGTTTTGTGTTTCTAAGGTGTGATGGCTGTGGTGGTCATCTTGAACTGGGTCAACTCCAAAAGTTAATCAGTTATAGAGGCACATTTACTCAGTACATTCTGATATTTTCATTAAAATCCATTGTGTTTTTTGAAATATTTTGCTAACAGACAGTTGATTCATTTGACAGTTGATAACAGACAGTAAATAATGTCAAGGCTTTAAACACAGATCTTGTGTGATTAATTATTCTCAGATTATAGGTTGGGGATGAGTCTCAGCTACTACCACATCAAATTTCAGCATCAGAATTGTTTCTGATGTTCAAAATTAATCAGTAATAGTTACTTTCTGAAAGCTTTATTAAAATCTGTTCGGTGATTCATTTCGCCAACAACGCAAACATGTTCACACACGAGCAAATGATGGTTTTGCCTTTGGTAGCGGGCTGTAAAAGTTAACAGAAAAGTTTAGCTAAAGATCACAGTTTTCTTTTTCCTTTTGTGTGACGCATTTTTCAGAAAATAGAACTTGTATTTTTTTTTGCTGGCGCTGACATTTCGAGTGTTTGTCTTTCTCTCGGAGCTGAATAGACACTCTGCAGGAGCAGCTTCCTCTGATGGAGGCCGTCTTAAGGGTGTGTGGAGAGAAAAGTCAAGAAGCTGCCATTTCACCCTCACATGTTCCAGTCACACACACACACACACACACACACACACACGGACACACACATCCTCACTCCGAGCCCACGGCTGCACCACCCTCCTCACTGTCTCTCCGTGCGTTATCAGTGCAGGAAGAGGCAGGGTGGTGCTTTCAGATGTGGCTGCACACGCTGGATGATTCCTGGCTTCTGGGTTTTTGGCTTTGAGCTGCAGGTTCCACCAGTCACTTTGTGTTTTGAGCTGTAAAGCTGAAAAACATTTCTGTAAACACATTTCATTAAACGCGTTTTCAGACGATGCTGCACAAAGTGGACAATAGAATTAGAGGGTTGGAACTTCCTGGCTGCAGACGAGCAGGTCAAAGGTCAGATAAGACCTACCTTACTGGGTGAACTTGGCCCAAAGAAATTGATTGACTGAGAGTTTTCTGCACAGCTGAAAGAAACCGTGGTCGTGCGTTTCTCCTCGAGTCACGCTAGAGCTTTCCCGACAAAACAAAGGCCCCCACGTCGTGTGAAGCGAGTGTGCCGTGAGTGTGCACACAGGATGGCGGGCGGCTGCGGCCAAACGGACAGTGCGGACCCATTATCAGTTGATTAGCGAGCAAGTCTCGCCTTTTCCTGAGTGGGTCCATATTAGCAAGTGTAGAAAAGAGGGAATAATAGCCCCTAATGCACTTTGGCTCGCGCTTCAAACGGGCCGACTGTCAGGAAGGCTAATCTGCCCCCCTCTCCCCCCTTCATTCGTGTGTTTTGACAATAAAGATAGCCTATCTCATCCCATTACAAGCTGCCAGTTTCCCGCCTTGTTCCCGATACGCCTGACATCGAGTCCCATGGAGTGTGTCACCCACTGGGACCAGTGGGACACTTTCATTGAACTGCGCTTGACCTTTTATGATGATGGTAAAATGGTTAGGGTTTAAATGTGCTCACCAACCTTAATGACAAACACTACAAACTAAAAGAAACTTTCATTATGAATTCATTAAAACATTGATTTAACAGACATGATTAGAACATTTTCTCATTAGCATGAGACAAACCATGATATTTTGCTAACAGAGACAAATGAATACACTCACCACACAGACACAGGCAAATACACATCTGCTTATTTTTGATGTCAGCAATGGGCCACAAAAAAGTAGAGACACAAAGACTGGATACTTTGTGGCGGCTGTGGCAGAGTGGTTAGGGGAGTAGTCCTGGAACTGGAAGGTCGCTGGTTCGATCCCCCGTCCAGCTGTCTCAGTTGTCCTTGGGCAAGACACTTCACCCCTATGCCTCTGATGTGTGTCCCATCAGTGTATGAATGTGATTGGCACTGATTAGTCTCCATAGACTGATTGTACGCTAGCTTTGTAGAGACCTACTAGAGTGCTGTGTGAATGGGTAAATGAGGGCACAGATTGTCGTATGAAGCACTTTGAGTGTCCTGGATGGATAGAAAAGCGCAATATAAATACAGTCCATTTACCGTACTCCACTCACATTATTCTTAAAACTCTTGTCTTCAGTGGTGACAGGTGATGATGTCAAAATTGGGATTAAAGAGAGAGTTCAGACATGAATGATAATGATGGCAAACTTCAATTAACTGTAAAGTATTTTGAACATTAAAAACATTTTTTTTTGTTAAATTCAGTACAAGAATTTAAGAAATTACTGCCATATTATCATATAACCTGTACATGACAACATCACAAATCTGTAAATCTAGTCTGGATTTTGGTTTTGGTGGCCAACCTCCACCACCACATGGTTACATCATTAAAAAAATTTCTAGAAGCCCCACTGCTAAGGAGAACTTTGAAGATGAGAAGCAGTTGAACTCCTGCTCAGACCTAACTCAACGGTGAACTAACAACTTTTGAGTTTGTTGCCGAGGTCCCTTTTAGACAAAACGGAGTTACTCAGTTCTGGAAAGAAGAATTAGAATAATCACCATAATATGGGAAACTCTGAGCACAGATTCTGATCTGTGAAAAACCTCAAATAAAAGAAGTTCAAGCAGCACAGAAGAGACTGAAGGCCTCAGCGCAGGTTAGCTTTTACCCAATCTTCAGCCGTAAAGGGTATGTTTGATTACCAGCGACAATCACTCCGAATGTTCTTTTCTTTAGTGAGCCAGACAATGACTTTGGCATTTCTTTATAAAGCACACCTTTTATCTGATGTGTCACTTCCTCCGAGCCTCTCGGTGTGCCACTAATGGTGCAGTGACATTTCAGTTCATTTCCCTTTTCTCAGCTAAAGGAAGCGAAGTGCAAAAACAAAAGCTAAACTAAATAGGCTTAATTAAAACATCTAACAAAACAAAACAAGAAATGCAAACAGAAAAAAAAAAGATGAGGGTGAAGTTAATCAGAGCTGGAGGAATGGTCTTGAACAGACTTCAGAAAAGAGGAGGAGCGGAAACGAAAAATAAGAGAGGAAAAGGAATAGAAGGGAGGTGGGGGTGTCAAGGAGAGTTTTTTTTTTTTTTTTTTTGCTTTTGTTTTATTTTAATCTGGCGTTTGCATCGAAGTGGGGAAAGCGTGGGCCACGGCTGGAGTGGCGTCGTGGGTGGACACTGCTGACAGATGGCTCAAAATATTGCTTTCTTCTGCTCCTGATTAAAGAAGTCAAAGAACAGGGTGGAGGGACGCAGTGGACAGATGACCTTACCACACACACACACACAAAGTGTATTGCTCAGCCTTGTTACACTTTGTAAAAATGTAACAGTATCAAGGAGCTTACAGTAAAAGGCACATTGACGTGTAGCCGAAAAGATACAAAGTTAAAAACAAACAAATTTTTATTGCTTTCTCATAACACTGACGTTTAAAAACAAGAAAAAATCAGCTTAGAGAAAACGTGAAACATTTGAAAAGTAAACCTTTAACTTTTGTCTTTTAGAACTTGAAATATATTTTTTCTCTCATATTACAAACATAATGAATTCTTTTAAAACTAGTAAAATGTCATATGAATCCCACAACACCCATAAATAAAAGTAAAAAAAAAGGCAAACATCCCAGTTTAAAATGTCATTACATTCCCAGAAAAAAAAAAGAAAAGAAAAAAGCAATGGGTAAACTTTAGAGTGTTTCATATACAATGTATATATAACGAGAAGACAGTCTTCCACAACATGAAGGTTGGGTTTTAAGACATACTGCCCCCTGCTGGTCACACCAACAACCTGCTGATACAGCAGCTACAACAAACAGTGACACAAGGTCACCACACACACACACACACACACACACACACACACACACAGTGATGAGATGATGCTGATAACACAAAATTTATGCCATCATCACAAAACTGGGAAAGATCACAAGGCCTGAGAATCAGGATTGACATAAAAAAAAAGACATTCACATATTCAACTTGGTGTGCAACATGAAACAAAATAGACCATTCTGAAATGACTTTTGGTAAAGTTAATAAAGGTGAGATTTTACAGTAATAAGATATTGCACAGTCCCGCAGAAAACATCGTAAAGATTCACAGTTTGATTGGTTAAGGCAGGAGTTTTTTTTTCCTGATTAGTTATTAAACAGTTTCCTGGCTAACTTGTCACATTCAGTAGGTTTTATGTTCTCAAAAATAAAGTAAAAATCACAMAAAATACTATCCCATTTACATATTAACTACAAAATGCTACTAAACAAATCCCCAAAACATGGAAGCAAAGGTTTCCCTATCTTAAAACTGATAAGAGAAGATGAATTTATTGGGGAGTTTTCAAGAACAACTACTCTGTAAACGTGGAACAGGAAGAGGGATTTATGACACAGCTTTAACGTGACATGTCAGAATAACTCTGCTGACTTTATTGCTCAGCGTGGCAGGGCTGCCCGCATGGCTTCCATCTTTTTTCCTCCCTCCTCGTCTGCCTGTGATGACTCAGCTCGCAGCTGCAGCAGTACTTGCAGTCAAATGGCAGCACAATCTTGGATCCAGCATCAAAGCTGTGCTCCAACTGGACGCAACACAGACACACACCTGTGGTCGTCACCCCGTCCTGTCGTTCGGGAAAGACCCAATCAGAGACTGAGCCGTCGCTCCCTTTATTCCAAGAGGAGGCATGCTTGGAATGGCTCAGATTTTTTTAAATCTTAGAACAACACAGTTATGAGGAGAATAAAAGTCACTGGATTTTAGATAGTCCACTGGCCAGGAGGAGTCTGAATGGGATGGTGGACCGGGACACAGTTAAAGGCAGCCTGTGGAGTCCTGTGAGGGAAAAAAAAACAAGGAYATTCACAAAGTAGAACAATAAACTCTCAAAGGTAGGGCAAAACACTGATTTAAATGTAACTAAAGAAATGTGAATGCTTCATGCTGAAAACTTAAGCTGAAATCTGCCGAAATTGAGCTGAAAACCTTTTATAGGAAAAGTGTTAATGCAGCACTTTGAAAAGCTGTAAGAAGCAAAAAATTCTGCAGAAAAACAGTAAAAAGGAGCACAAATCTAGTTGAAAAGAGAAAACAGCTAAAAGCTAAAATATCTGAATAGATGAAAACATATGTAAGAAGCATACATACATAGCACTAGGTAGCAGGGAAAAAAATCATAAAAAGTAAAAAAAAACAACAGAAGAATAGCAGAAGCAGATCTTTAGCTAAAGTAGCATAAAACAGCTAAAATTAGCATAAAATAAGCTAAAGGTAGCAGCCACAATTTAAAATTAGAACCAAGATGAAATAGTTATAGTTGAAAAGTAGCTAACACAGAAACAAAGCTGAAAAAAACATAAAAAAGGAGCACAAATCTAGTTGAAAACAGTAAACAG